ATAAGTAACTAAAGAAATAAATAAAGTTAGATTGATTAATAAAAAAAGTTAATAATAATAAAATAAGTAACAAAAGAAATAAATAAAGTTAGATTGATTAATAAAAAAAAGTTAATAATAATAATATAATAATAATAATAATAATAATAAGTAACAAAAGAAATAAAGTTAGGTTGATTAATAAAATAAGTAACTAAAGAAATAAATAAAGTTATGTTAATTAATAAAATAAGTAACTAAAGAAATAAATAAAGTTATGTTAATTAATAAAATAAATTAATAATAATAAAATAAGTAACTAAAGAAATAAATAATGTTAGGTTAATTAATAAAATAAGTTAATAATAATAAAATAAGTAACTAAAGAAATAAATAAAGTTAAGTTAATTAATAAAATAAGTAACTATTAATAATAAATAAATAAAGTAAATAAAGTTACATTTAAAGATTAGTGATTGATTTAGTGTTCAAGATTAATTTAATCATTGAACGAGTTATATACTTTCGCTGATATTGTGCAATCTCGTAGAACAACGATCATGAGTTTTCACGCATACATAATCTGCTGTCAACTTGCGCCAAGTGGCCCTGAGTAGACGTCGAGCCATTTATTAAGGTCTCCTATTATCGATTGCTCGTACCTGTTCATCGTGATACGTACATAATGCACTTGCCCAAAGTAATTTGAGCCTCGTATCTGAAACGAGAGACTCAATATTAGACTCCGGTAGTCTCGTTTACTTTTTAAAATGTGCGTTGAATTTTTCATTGCTCTGTGCGCTGTGTGTTTAACCCTCTATGGCCCGAATTTCTTTCTTAAATGTAAAAAAATTTATGCAACAGAGAATCAACAATTATAAATTATACCTACAATTATAAATTATATATGCAGATTAAAGAAAAAAATTTACCAGTTTAAACAATTTTATTGTAATTAATTCACTTTGTAACTTTGAGGTAATTTGCACTTCTGTGCATAATAAAAGCTTAAGCGTGAAATTCCATAAAACAGTTTGCACTCGGCGTTAAACATAGATGTACGTTGCATTTGGAACATTTTATTTTTTTATTTTTGAAACTCCTTTACACCCCGGCTTTTTGCAGCGTCCTCTGTTGTCTATCATCAGTATTGTTATTGGTTATCTCAGAGACATTATATAATTAAGACGTATATTGTCATCTTGTGACAAAACTAAGATTATTTGGTAAAATATTTGGTCGATATATATTAGCATGTGACGTGAAAGTTACACGGGCCCATAGAGTGTTAAACGCACGGTATTCGATTTTTTTATAATTATTAATTTCAATGCTTAACGTATCTTGACTGTATTTACTTCATTGAAACAGCAGAGTTTCACTTTCTGCTGAAAACATCTGAAATTATCAGATATATTAATAACTTCAATAAATTAACAACTTCAAAGCTACGAATTGATACGAAAAAGATTTCAAATCGTTGTAATTAAACTTATAAAAATCGTTATAATTAAACTAAAACAAAACCAAGCTTTTTAGCAATTGTAAAACAACTTTGGTAATTACAGGAATAAAAAGTCTGAAATTTGTTACATCGGTAGTTTACGTACTCGTTAAAATTCATGTAACCTTTTCGACATGTTGTCTTTCAATGTCTATTGCGTCGTCTGCAAAGAATCGAAGTGTTGGAGATCGATATGCAGAGAGCAAATTGGTCGAGTAAACGTGACCGAGAGTCGTTTCTCTCTCTTTTTTTTTTTTTTTTTTTTTTTTCTGTTCTCGAGTCGTTTCGCTAAATTCGAGTGGCTCAGTCTCGATCCAGAATTTCTCGATACACCGGTTCTCTATCATTTCCTGATCTCTGCGAAAAATTTCGAAAGTTGCATTTACTTAATAGACAGATTACAGAAACACGTCTCGCAAAAGAGAAAAATCGATGAGATTGATTTTCGTTGATCATTTCGTAAATGTTCAAAGACAGTGTATCGAACAAAAATGTTTATTTCAATAAAACGACTTTGTGTTTAATTTAATTAAATTAATATTTTATGGAACTCGGTTGTTAGTAACATACATATTTTCAAATGTATATGAGAAAGTTCCAGACATGTTTATCCTTCCAAAAGGAATATTTCAAACTATTTCAATCGCAATCTCTGTAGTATGTTACAACGACATCCTTCTTTTTCGAAAGATATTTCATATAGTCAATTTAGACTCCGAATTGAAACACAAATGGAGATATTGATCTGAAACAATAGAGCCAATATTAACCTCTTGCGCTGGGATGCACGTCGAAAATTGCAATATTTTCTCAGTTTCAAGTATATTTAAATACAACCTAGGCAAAACAAATAACAAGTTCATTAATTCTTGCTAATTTAATATATATATATATATATATATATATATATATACACCGAATGAACTCGAAACGAAGAATTATTGTACACGGTTTTTTGGTCACTCGTTACGGTCCGCGAACCAGTTACCGGCGCAAGAAGGTGTCAATTGAGAAACTTGTACGATTTTCGTAATACTTTCTAAAAAAAAAAAAAAACGATCGTTCGGTGCCGGTTTCGCAAATTAATAATTTGAAACGAAAACGGACCACGAGGAGAAAACGTTGCATTGGAAAACGTCGTAGATTTTTCGTGTAGGGCCGAAAAACTGCGACGAGTCGACCATTCCGGCACGTTCTACGTATATATACACACGCGTGGTAATTTTTCGTACGTACGAAACCGTGGCGCGGACGCGCGTGTGCGTGATTTTCCACACGCATACGTAACACCGGGAGGCTGCCGCCGGCTGGTGTAGGTGTAGGTGCGTGCTATCGACCGGGGTATCCTTCTGTGCTGCTGGACGCCGGTGTGCCCCACCCTAAAGTGAATAGCGAGCAAGCGAGCGAGGAGTGACGAGGAGAGCTAGCGCCGACTGGAGAAAGACAGACTACAAGCGGGGCGGAAGAGAAGCGAACGGCAGATGCAGCGAACGAGAGAGAACAAACGGGACAGGGGAGCAGCGTCAGAGGGGAGAAAGAAAAACAGAGATGGCCTCAGATGAGGAAAATAAGAGTGGGACCATGCGGATCCAACGAGAAAAAGCGAATGAAACCGGGGAGAGCGCGAATTCGCGAAAAAGGGGGGAAAGTCGTTTAAGGGGGGAGACAAGGAGCGAAGTAATGGCAGAGTGATAGAAGTAAAAAGAGAGGGCAAACGAAGATTCGTATGGACGAGAATGAGAGAGAGAGAGCGAGAGAGTGAGTGAGTGACGCAGGGCCGTGGAGGGAGAGGTTAGTTTGGAAAGATAAGGACGGAACGACGAAGGGAGGGGGCGGCGGCGAGCGAGAGAGACAGAGAGATCACGGCACGCAGAAATGCCTCCTGCTTAGTGATAGCGTAGAGACTGTAGTGTTCACATCACACGCGACACACCAAAAATTGTTCGCACGTCCGACGCGCGCCCGAAAAGTAGTATCGTTCTTCGATTCCGCGGCACAATAATTGGTTACGTTACAAGACGCACGCACATCTACAACGTGTATATACACACATACGTACATACTTAGTACATATATATATATATATGTAGAAGGGCGCGAGCGCGCGACCAATCTCGACAAAACGCACACATATATACAAATCACGTACGCACAGGGACAACGTAGGAGAGACAGACTGTTCGAAGGACGGCAGGAATAAAGAAATAAAGTACCAAAGAGGATATAAAAAGAAACAAACACTGTCTACCTTCGACGAGACGATCACGTACAACACATTCCTAACGACTGTGATCAATTTTTAAAAACTGTGCTCCATTCTTACGAGAATTTTTCTCGCCAAAATCTCGCGCATCCCGATCGTGTTCGGATTCTCTTTCCTTCTTTCGAGACGGGGTGAGTAAGAGGTGTCCAATCATACGGTGATTGTACTGGCTGGTCTATCCGTCATTTATTATCTACTTAATTCTCGTGTTGGTCGTACTTCTCTGTCGTCACGTCTTGCTTCGAGTACCTGAAAAAGGATCGCGAAAGTTTCTCGACCGGAAGTCGAGAGAATTTCTACACGTTTGCGTACTCGATATCGATTGACGGCCGTGTCGGGGTTCCCCGGGACACACACTCAATCCCCTTTCATTTTCACCCGCAACTAAGAAAGATATAATAATAATAATAATAATAATAATAATAATAGCGTGCAAACGCATTGATCGCGATTGTTTTCTTTCGTCAGTTTTGTCGTGCCTTCGTGCCGGCTCTCAAACGTTTTTTCTCATCTCCCACGATTTACAATCTTTACGATTTTAACCTTAATGAAATCCTCCGTTACCAACGTGTCATAATCAATTTTCCAATCGACTATAGTAGCAACCGGTGCGTGTACGATTCTGTCGGCACCTTCCGTACTACGCTAGTCGGCCAGTGCAACCGGAACCGCGCCGTTCAAGGACAGTTAGAGAATCCAACCTGCTAATTCAAGTCGGCGGAAGTTGGATATAGAGTCCGTCGTCGAAAAATCTCGCGTTCACATCTCTCAAATTAAATGACACACGTTTACGTAACGTTCCGGCGTATCTGCCGGTTTACCGGCCGCGGTTTCTAATTCCTCGAACGAAATTGCACGGCGGCGGTATTAACGAGAGTAAGAAAAGATAGACGAGGAAAGAGGGAAAGAGAGAGACCGCGAGGTCGCATGATTTTTCCAGCCGTTATCGGACAGTTGAGAATATTTTGACGAGGGATAATCCCCCCGGTGAAAGGGGACAACGATCGGAAAGGCACACGCGACCTTTGACTCTCTGCCAGGGGTGACTGCTACTACCGCCACCCCCTCTCCCTCCCTCCCTCCCTCCCTCCCTCCCTTTCGTCGACGCCAAGGACAACCGGAAGTGCTTGGAATATAGCGCGTCGTCGTAACCCGTGTACAACACGCGTGTTCATTTTCCGTCCATCTTGCTTTCGTCGAGGAAGTGTGCCGCCAACCACACCCCCTCTCGCTCTCCTCTTCTTCCTCCTCCTCCTCCTTCTCCGTGAACTTCCGGTCTCGAAGAGGCCTCCTACAGGACGTCGGGGAAGGAGAAACGTGGCGAAGAGGTGAAGTTCGATTATCGAGAGGTGAACACACGAGGTTTGCCGCGCTCTCTGTCAGTTTCTCGCTCGCTGTCTCTCTCGCCAGGGCGTCGTCATCGTCGTCGTCGCCGCCGCCGTCGTCGTCGTCGTCGTCGTCGTCATGGGCGGATGTACCTCCAAGGATACCACGTCGAACGACGAGTACGTATTTCCCTGCGGGCGATGAGAGAAAAGATTATTAGGAGAGGCTAGTTTAGAAATTTTTTTTTTTTTTTTTTTTTTTTTTTTTTTTTTTTTTTTTTGTTTTTTTTATCGTTCGGAGAGGATGACGTGCAAACTGTTCGAAAGTCACGCGCCGATCAACTCTATAAATTGAAAAAAATTGTAAAAATTATTCTTTGTATATCATAAAATGTGTATAGTTGTTCTATCTATATATATATTTACGTTATCTGTACGGTAAAATATATATACTAATAAAATATATATAATAAATATATATAGTTGTTCTATATATATATGTACATTTACGTTATCTGTATGGTAAAATATATATACTAATAAAGTATATATATAGTAGTTCTATATATGTATATATACACATTTACGTTATCTGTATGGTAAAATCGAATGTACGAAAGGCAGAATTGATCACGATGGCTTTCGAGCTGAAGCATCAATTACGTGTGCGTCAGTTTAGATTGGGTTAAGGTGAATATCGTTTCTTTATAAAGTTTTAGAGCAAAGTCTTTTGAATTGTTCGAGAAAATGGTATAATTATGTGAGCGTGCGAGTCGGTTTAGGGGTTTGTCGGTGACGTCACTTGGCTCGGTGCCCGCCTAGTGACGTAGCCGAACGTCAGATCAGACATTCATGGAATTCGTAATTGATGTGTATCGGGCACTAGAGATGAGTCATTTATAGGAGCTCGTGACTATCGTATGCTGTGGGAAAATTGTGAATTCATTGGTGAAGTATTTTTAATTTCTGTTATATCACAAGGAACGGTGTTTCGATAAATATTTATTATAGAAGATTTATTTATTATCTAGATATTTTTATACTGTAAAAATTATATTAAAAATAATATTTTTGATATTTTTATACTGTAAAAATTATATTAAAAGCAATATTATTTTTATACTGTAAAAGAATAGAAACTTCTCACTCTTAAATTAAGTAACAAATATATTTCGTTTCAATAAAATTGGCTCTATATATTTCTGTTATTAATTATTCGTAAAGACGAATCTTGCATTTAAAAAGTTGTATCGAAGAGTTTTAAAAATGTCGACGAACTATTTATTCAATAGCGTCATAAAGCAAGACCAGGATTTCAAATTCTTTCAAAAAATTTCTATTACACTGGTAAAAATGAAACGCATCGTGAATTTACGTGGAGAAAACAGAGTGATAAAGATTTCTAAGATGTAAACGCATTAGGATCATTTTATTAGATCTTTAGAAAAACTAAAACTGCTGTCAAACACGAATACGACGTGAACATTAAATAATGAATCCATGAAGTAGAAACAGAAAGACAAGAGAATTTCTAAAATAAAGTAACAATTGTTAACATAGAACAAAACCCGAATGAAGCCTCGAAAGAACATTCCCGAAAAATATTATTCGCAAAGTGTATGAAAGTAAAGTGTGGAGGGAGAATCAGATTCGATTCGAGTTATTTATCAGCGAAAACCGTCAGTGTTCCCATCGCTCGATCGTTAAACCTTGCTTACAAGTTACTCAGGTTTTCATTATCCTTCAAGTTTCCCACAGTTTAAGTATCGTACCATCGCCAGAGTTTATGTCGTCCGAAGTTTGACGTACAGGCCAACGATCCCTTTCGACTGAAACTTTTAGGCGTCTATTGTGATCGAGAGCAGTTTCATCAGTCAAGTCCAAATTAATTAGAAAACGATTCTTCTGATTCACCTGGAATCGTTATCTTGTGATCTTTGATAATTTCAGAGTCAAGGAAACTTATTTCGTTCAATTTTATTTAGCATAACAAAGAGAATTTGTTAATTGGCGATCGCTGGATTAAAATCTTCCTTCTGCTTTTTTTTTTTTTTTTTTAAATTTCATTTTATTGGTTTAGTGTGTTGTTCGAACGGTTCTCCCAAGTCCCTTATAAAGGAGTGTGCAGCCGACGTTTATAGTGGCTAGGGACTACTACCCCTGTTGGCTCACACAAAAGGGTTAACCCTCTGGCCTTATGCAGGGGCGTGGACGAGAAACAGGTCGACTGAAAAAATTTTATTTGCATTTCGCACGACATATCGGTCTATGTTCACTTTGCGTCCCTCGTTACCATTGTTACTGTGCTCGAATAAAATATGCTCGCTGAAAAGACCTTTTCTTTTCTACAGTCACAGAGGAGAAAATTGAAAAGCTCGTTAATAGCGTTTTGTTGAAATTTTCAGAACAATAGCATCTCTAATGAAGATGATTTTTAAATGAAAAATTGAAAAGTTTGATGTTTGCTCTGGTGGTTCTTCTCGTATTCTTTCAAATTTTAGAATACAGATAACAGAGTAACGAGTGTTTGAATATATTTAAATAAAGATATCGGCGAGAGAAAATTAAAAAGACGCTGCCAGATCGTGCTTGAAGATGCTCACTGTTCGCAATTGTTGTGCAAAGATATCGAAAGGAGACTCGAGACGAGGATTAATTGAAATTATATTCATAAAAATATTATCTGAAAGCACAACAGGTATAGAAATATAGAAATACAAGTATAGAAATATGTCTACGGACGATTAAGAAAGAGAGGTGTTACAAGAATGTCGAGCTATTAATTATAATTAATTGAAACAAGTTTGATCAACGTTAACTATGTACTAACGTAATAATTATTTTTAAACATTGACGAACAGAATTCATTTTCGAGTCGAGTCATAGCTCTTCTCTCCTCTCTTAAATGTTTTCTCATATTTTGATCTTTTACATTGTTCACGTAAAAAATTCTTCCATTTTAGAAAATATTTATACCTCCAGAATGTAAAAATCTCTGGATCTAAAATCTAACATAGTAAGCTAATGTAATATATCTTATCGTACATTATCGTTGATTATTTTTATTTCTTCATTAAGTTGATGGAAGATTAATGATCGATTGAAACGCATCTAGGTATCACCGTGGTGACGATTCTTTAGTTTCATTGGACTTGGACGTATTCTTTTATATACACCATACTATATATATATATATATATATATATATATATATATATATATATATAAAATTAATTATTATAATTTTTATATACTGTATAAAAATTTTAATATAAAATTATATATATATAATATATAGGAATTATAGTATAAATATAATATAAAAAACTATATAAAAATATTAATAGAATTATACTATGTACTATTAATAGAATTATTAATAGAATATACTATTAATATAAATTATACTATTAATAGAATTATACTGTATAAAAATTTTAATAGAAAATTATATATATATAATTTTAATATATAAAATTATAATATAAATATAATATAAAATTATAATAATTAATTTTATATGCTATATAATATAAAATTATATATATATAATATATAGAAATTATAATATAAATATAATATAAAATTAATTATTATAATTTTTATATATGATATAAAAATTTTAACATATCAAAAATTATATATAATTTTATATATATATATTTCACAATTTATCAACAATTTTTCATAACGCGTTCCTACAGAAATCTCAGTAATCACAGCTTCGTCATACATACATAAAATATCAAAATTTTAAAAAAAAAAAGTCGAATAAACAGCCTATCTTGCACCTCATAATCAAAAACTCACGGCACACGGATGGTTTTCGATCGATCGAACCAAGAAACAAATGGCACCAACCGCATAAATTGCAGCAACATCGAAGAGCAGCCGACCGATCGTCGAACGAACGAAAATAAAGAAGAAGAAAAGAAAAAAAGAGAAACTGTCACATTGGAAAACCGCACAAATTATTCTCTCAGTCACACCGACCATGAAAATCGATCGACTCGCCCGTAATAAAATCGTCGGTGTTCGTGGGTAATAAAAAAGGGCTTCTTCGTTTTCCAAGAGGAAAAAAAAAAAAAAGAAGAAAAGTGGCAAGAAAGATCTCGCGTCTGAAAGTCTGTCTTTCACGTAGCAAGGAAAAAACTCGTGGAGAGGAGGAGGAGGAGGAGGTGGTGGTGCTTTGTTGGGAACGAGACGAGATCGCGCGATCCATCCTGATGATCCTCGTGTGTGGACGTCGAGCGACAACATCGTATGCGATTAGCGCTTGCCTGACTTTTTCTCCCCTACTCGTCGTCCATCCTACGCTCTTCGTTGGTCATCGTGATCGTCGTCGACGGACGCACGGTTTTATAAGAGAAACAGAGGATCCGACGGTTAACTGTTCGTGTCGCTTATAAATAGACGCATAACCCCGGGGCGATAATCGAGGCATAATCGTCGACAATGGGCGTATGCACGTCGCTGGGCATATGCGAATCGTCGGACGAAACGGTCGTCGACGAGGACGAGTACGTATTGCTGAGATTGACGTGGTACTACAACGCACGAGTGTCTCGAGTCGGCTGAATGGCTAACTTATTTTACATCACCGAACGTGTACATATTGGCAGAAACTCGCTCGAACTTTCTCTGTCTCTTGCTTTCTCGTGTTTTCAACCGTTTTCCGCGGCGGGGAATTAAAAAAATTATTCCACGTTCCGAGTTTGAAAGGCAAAGGAGAATGACGATGTTGTAAACATTAATTGTGGATGGAAAAGGATTCAGTTGCGAGGAACTCGTTTAATTTTTAAAACTAATGGTTATCGTTGTAATCGTATGGAATATCGTTGTAATTTTTTAAAAAGGTGAAAGGGATAGGATGCATTGTGAAACGAATAAATTCACTCGAGTTGAAATGAAGATCAAGATCGTGATTAGATTGCAACATCAGTTCAAGTGGCATGATGGTTGTCTGATAGATGCAGACTATCGCAATTTCTGCAAATAAAACTTACAAGCTGAATTGAAATCTAGAGATTGTTATACGGACGAATGCAACATTGAAATGCCATTTAATTGTCACTGTTTTAATTGTCGTTATTCTTGTCTAATGGAAAATCTAATAGAAAAAGAAAAAACTCGTGGATATTTAATTCGAACGCAATTAAGATCTTTAATTTCAATTAATATTCAATATATTACGAAGAAAAGTTCGAGCGAAACGTATTATGTGTTTCAAAGTGTGCACCATATCACGAGACCACACCCACGTGATCAATCGTCTGATGTATTTTGTTCAGAATAATTAATCCAGAACAGGAGGCGTCATGCTTCTGTAAACTATTTGAAATTTGAAGATTGTCAACATAATTTCAGTGTTTAGAATGTTTAATTATTCTGAGCAAATATTTGGCACATTGAAGAAACAGCACCGTCATAAGGAATATATTTTATCAATATGTTGCAACATCTTTTCTTGCAACGATGCATCATTATTATATAATTATCGGATTCTGCAGTGACAGATAGGCTTCCTTCCCGACGTTTTCATTTTAATCCACAGAAATTGCCAGGCACAAGCATTGAGTCAAGAAGCAAAAACCAGTTGAAGTTGAATTTAGTTCAGTTGGCTTCAATGATTTCTATTCTAGAAAAAAAAAGAAAAAGTCGAATGATGTAGCTGTAGATGATAGTAGAAGTAAATTTTTCGAATCTTCATTAAGTTGCCACGGTGTGATTTTAAAAGGTGAATAATAATAAAATAAACAGTGATAAACATTCGTCGAAATTTTTACTAAGTCGAAAACATTAATTATTACTAAAACGTTTCTAATCACATATATATATGTATAATATAATATATTACATTAATTATTATTAACACGTTTCTAATCATATATATATTAGAAACGTTTTAGTAATAATTAATGTAATATATTATATTATGAATATATATATTATATTAACATATATATATGTGTGTATAATATTCTTCTTTCTTACTAAATTTGAATTTTTACCCAACAGTGTGAAAATTTTTTCCAAAATCACTAGTAACAAATTTCATAACCTTATTATACTAACACGTATTTATATATATATATTTATTTATTTATTTTCACTAATTTCAATAATTTCAAATATTATACGTGCTCGAACTACGCTAATTATTCTCGTCCCTGTATTTCGTATTTAAAATCCACGCCGTGAATGGCGTTTCAAACGATCTCTCCTCGTTCTAGCCCTAATCTATCAGACACGAGTAACGATGAATCATTTCGATTTGCAAGGGAGCGCAAAATTGCGTAAAGATCTGACAACAAGGCATCCGTTGTCCGTAAATGGGATCCTCGATGTCCGGCTCGCGTAAGCTCCTAAAAACCCTCTCTGTATCAAAGGATATCTTTACGAGATCATTGGCCCGATTCCTCGATAATCTCATCTCTCGGCAAACTGTCAAACTATTTGGAACTTAGTGAGTAACATCAAAGATTCGATCGTACTTCCTCCTTTCGTGATGTTTCTCTTAATTAGAAAACTTGTGATCATATGTAACAATTGATATACGAAGCGTGAACGCGGAAATTTGTCGTAGCGTCGTCGTAGTTGATAAATTTGTTTTTATGATCGTGGAGCCTGCCAGAGGGTTGCAAAAAGTTGAATTACGCCGAGGGTGATGTTACGTAAAAGTTACATACACGATAACAGAATATCTCAAAGGGGAATGGTCAATGAGAGTGTTAGAAGAGGGGGTTTGTGACACGCAAATAAGGTCGTGCCCGATTAGACGCGAAATTTTCCTCATTTTCTAATAAAGTTTGAACTATTTTTGTCTAGAGTCTGAAACGTCAAAGACCACGCGCAATGTTGAAAAATGAACGTAACGTAATTTATATATATCCTTTTGCTGGGAAAAAAAGAATCTTTTCTGCAATATTTCGACTTGAATCTTGACTGAGATATTGAAGCAAAATTCGATAATGTAAATTGTTTTAGCCGTGGTGTAATTTATAGATAAAAGACATATTTAGCAGATCCTATCGACGATTAATTAGCAAAATATTTTTAATAAGAAAGATAATAATTTATAATGAATTTTAACAAAATTAGAGAATTACTCGAAGTTAATCGTAGCAATTAAAATCTTCAATGCTTGCATTTGCCATTCTGTCGGTTTACGTCGATCTCGAAAGGTTTCGAATTTTATGACACGTACATACGTATATAAAAAGTTGAGCCTAATTCTGCACGAAACAGATACTACATACGTCAATACAAAGGGATTTTCTGAAATCTCGAAATATATTCCATCACGATAACACGGACAATCGTTTCACAACTATCTGATGCAAATAGTACGCGCAAACAAACACGTAATTTTCCACGATAAGGTACACTAGATAAGAAATCAAACGACGATAAGAAAATTTCATTTACCTGTAACATAATCGATTTCCAGTCTATATCCAATACAGTGAGAACTAATCATGCATCGAACTGCAAAGGAAGGGAGACTAATTCTGCTTCTCTTGCTTTGTTTAATGCTCTTTTGTCTCACGTAAAATACAATTATCCTTAAAAGATTTGTAATTTCATTGTTAATTGCTACACTTTCAACCTACGACTTTGTTTTTACATTGGTTAATTTGAAAGTAGGAAAACTAAAGAAGAATTGGTATATTTCAAAATAAGGACATAGCTCACTGTATTTTCAAGAGTAGTAATGGAACACTTGAAAGCTTCTCAAATAACTTTGAAAATTATTTTCTATGTTGCACGTTCCTCTAAAGGACGTTTCATTTATAGATGTGTTTTAATCGTTCACAGCAAGAAAACCAGCAATATGGTTGATCAGGCAGTTCTGGACAAACTGGAGGCTGGCTTCTCCAAATTGGCTGCCTCTGATAGCAAATCTTTGCTGAAGAAATATTTGTCCAAGGAGGTCTTTGATCAACTTAAGACGAGGAAAACCTCCTTTGGCTCCAGCCTTCTTGATGTCATCCAGTCTGGTGTAGAGAATCCGGATTCTGGCGTTGGTATCTATGCCCCTGATGCTGAAGCTTACACGGTTTTCGCTGACCTCTTCGACCCCATCATCGAGGACTATCATGGCGGCTTCAAGAAGACTGACAAGCATCCACCAAAAGACTTTGGAGACGTCGATACTCTTGGCAACCTTGACCCAGCCGTTAGTATATATATATATATATATATATATATATATATAATTGGGAATTGTCACTTAAACGAAATGGCTAATATTACTTGTTCACTTCCAGAGTGAGTTCATCGTCTCCACTCGTGTGAGATGCGGCCGTTCCTTAGAAGGTTATCCGTTCAACCCATGCCTAACTGAAGCTCAATACAAAGAAATGGAAGAGAAAGTCTCCAGCACTCTTGGAGGCTTGGAGGGTGAACTGAAGGGAACCTTCTATCCTTTGACCGGCATGAGCAAGGAAGTCCAACAGAAGTTGATCGACGATCACTTCCTCTTCAAAGAAGGCGACCGCTTCTTGCAAGCCGCCAACGCTTGCCGCTTCTGGCCTACTGGCCGTGGTATCTTCCACAACGACGCCAAAACTTTCTTGGTCTGGTGCAACGAGGAAGATCATCTTCGTATCATTTCCATGCAGATGGGCGGTGATCTTGGACAGGTACAAAATGCGTGTTTTACAATTTTACAATTTTTATTTATCTTCAACTCTGACAGACAGATTTTGTTTATGTACCTTTGCATCTATATCCGTAGACCAACAGTAATAATTAAATCTATAATCAATGAATGCCTATTAATTTTCTTCATCTTGCAGGTCTATCGTCGTCTAGTGAGCGCCGTGAACGAAATCGAGAAACGACTTCCGTTCTCCCACCATGATCGTCTTGGCTTCTTGACCTTCTGTCCTACCAATCTGGGTACTACAGTCCGTGCCTCTGTACACATCAAGTTGCCGAAGCTGGCCGCCAACAGAGAGAAGCTCGAAGAAATCGCTGGAAAGTTCAATCTCCAGGTCCGTGGTACTCGCGGAGAGCACACCGAGGCCGAGGGTGGTATCTACGACATCTCCAATAAACGCCGTCTCGGTCTGACGGAGTATCAGGCTGTGAAGGAGATGCACGACGGAATCGCCGAGCTGATCAAGCTCGAGAAGGAACTTTAAACAGAGCGCGCCAGAAAACAGAACAGCCACGCGGTCATTTCCTTCTTTTATTCGCCCCTTAGATGTTCTTGACGCATCGAGGATCTCATTTTCATTGGCAAAGCAGAAATGAAATTTCAAAAAAGCTTCAGTAAAGTCGTACTGTTTTTTTCAACTTGAGAGAAACGCGTGTCGGAGAAATTTTTTTCAAAGAGTTTGTAAAACAAAAGTTTGTGATTTGAAACGAAAAGAGAAACGTACTATGACACTTGTACGTTTCCGAACGTGAGTGAAAGAAATCAAAGAACAAAGATCCGTAGCCTACAAAAGAAAATCAAAGAAGCATTTTCTAAAAGACAAATTCGGTTCGTGCGCGGAATGTAGTTACAAAACTGACAGTTTCTCGTTTCTTAATTTTAAGTGAATCAAAGTGTTTCGGTCCTCGATATGCCAAGATCCCTTCACGCAATTACAAACGCGTTCTTAGAGTTCCAAACGGAGGCGAAATGGAAGCCCCGTTCGCGATGAAGATGAATTCTAGAAAATTCTAGCTAGCCTAGTCGAGATCTAAAAATCGGATCGTGAATATTCTAAGTTCTTGGAAAATGTCTAGGATTGTTGTCGTGAACGGTAAACTTTTGCACGTCCTTATTGGTCTCCACCTCCCTCTTTTACACACGCGTTACGATTGCTATTATTATTATTATTATTAATTAATATCACTATCATTATACTATTATTATTATTATTACTATTATATTATCGTCTGTTACGTTGACTCAAGTTCCTTTCAATCAGTCCGTACGAACAAAACGAAAATGAAAAAGAGAAGAAAAAGCAGCTTGTATTATACGTTGTGCGTATATAATACGCATTATTATGTCTTTAACAGTATTTTAATTTTGTTTTGCCACATTTTCTTTTCTCTTTTTTTGTTTTTTCTTTTTTTAAAAACATGTATTATCCAGCATGTAGAAAAAATACACGCAGTATTCTTTCATTTTTTTCTCTGTCATTCTTTTCTTTGTTTCGCCTCTGACCTTCGTTTTTCTCTCTTTGTACCTCCGTCTGTCAGAAGTATCCTTTGTACCAGCACCCTGTGTTATCCCGTGATAAAAAAAAAGTCCTTCAACGTTTGTAATAACGTCTGACGTCGACGAAAAGAAGACAGCTACGTACATATATCGTTACATGTGATTCAAAATGATGGCCGAGTCGTAAAACCATTTTCGGTTAACACGCTGAGAACACCTTGGATTTTTGTACGGTGTTCCATCACAAGAGAAATCGATTTCGATCCTTTTTGACTCTGTTTTTTGGTCACGAGTCGCCGCCGTTTGATATAAGTATAAGAAGACGCATTTGTATGGCTGAAACAAGAGAAAAAAAAAAAAGGAACGGCAAGGAACATTTTTTTGAAAGTATTGTATCTGAATTTAATTATATAATTCTACATCTGAACTGTGCTGTTGCTTTGACAACTCATCAGAATTCCTCCGAGAATGTTGATTTCGACAATTTTTTACCTCTTTAAATGTAAGATTACTTTTCACTCCAGAAATATGATGGAATTTACGCTCAATAACAGGATGTAACTGTGTGTTATAAAAATTATCAATAAAAGATATATCTTGGGTGTAAGAGAACTCGAGGCTATGGCAAGGAAGCTTCGAGCTTCCAGTTTGAAATCTAAATCTAGCGCGTGAATCCGGTTCTTGATGTATTAAAGAGAAAGAAGAAAAAGAAAAACGCAACGAATGCAATGTCTGCAGCATCTCAGCGGCCATTTTGTAACGTGTGTTGGAAAGGATGTTACACACATATTGTTTCTCCGTTCTCATTTTTTACCAAAACTAAGAACATCTGCGACGAATATAGCATGCTAAATGCTGCAGCTGACGCGACGACAACTTCACTATCAGATGTATGAAGATGTGAGTTTGAAACACGAATAAAAGAACGTACACAATAATATCTTCTCCTTTCTTTTTTGATACTTTATCCCTTTTGATATCTCTGATGTAAATCTGATATAAACGGTCGTAATAAAGTCGTTTGATCGTACAACGTTAAATCTTTATTTCGTGAACTCTCGAGTAATTTAAATATCAAGAAAAAAAATGACAAGATTCAAGTAGCAATTACTTTTTAAAATTATGAATGCCCTTTGAAAAACGCACAAAAATATAAAAAGAGTATTTGTGACTCGTAATTATATAAAATTACATCTTACGTACAAGTATAGATACATTGTAATATTGCATTAATGTAAATTAAAGACTTACAATCTAATAGTTTGCAACATCATATCACGTAAGTTGCAGGGCAAGTATTTGTTCGCATAATCCAGAACACTTCCCTTATGAGAAAAAGAGCGATGTATGCGCGTGTAAGTATACACAAATGATCCTTTCCAAAATTGAATACAAAAATAGCAAACAGCAATTAAATAATTGCACTTGGACAGGTTATTTGACAACGTTGTGCATATTCATTATATAAATTTGATATAAAAAATATGGCGAATCTTTGAAGTTTAAAATTTAAGCTCTCGATATATATCAGCGATTCTTCACAGTAAAGTGTTTCTTCTCCAATAGAACACGGCAGAAAAGACACTAATTTCAAGTCTTTAAATAGAATTCTTTCAATCATTCTACGAATTCTATACGCTGCGCCTTCCGTTCCGTTCGAAATATAGAAAATCCTGTAAACACAAAAATATTTGTAATATTAGTAAACTTATCGATATTTGTACAAGTTCTTTTTTTTTTTTTTTTTTTTAACTTACGATAAGAATACAGGCACCAAGCAACACCGCTTTGATCTTAACGTCTAAATCTATAGGAAAACGCAAGCTGAAGTTATCAGCATCCGTGAGAATTTCTCTAGTGAAACCGCCCCATTTCTTTTTAATTTCCCCAACTCTATGTACATCATCCGCGGACCTTATCTGGGAAGAAAAGAAGAAGTTAGAAAATTGAAAGTTAGTCGAGTGATTATATTAATTACTATTATATTAATTACAGTGATTATATTAATGTTTCACCTTAAATCTCACGGTTCCGCAACATCTAAACCATGGTCCCTTTACCCTTAAAACTGTTTTCCCAGACGCATTGCGAATAGAAAACGAAGGCCTGAAGAAACTGCTACAATTTTCTGTTACTGTACCGAGAAGCACTCCTCCCGAATATACCTCCAACACCTGAATGAAAGTAAATTGAAATTTAAGTCGAGTTAAATTAAATCGGGAAAGAATAAAGAATGGTGGCAATTTCAAAATTCAACTTTTTCGCAGTGATTGGAAAAAGACAGTGTAAGTCTAATTTAAGTTTTAAGATCTAAATACACTCGACATATCTCTCTTCTTTTAACGATATCTACACGTTACTATCGACAAGTCTGATTCGAAGAATTCACGAGTATGAAGAATGTGAAGGAAAGTTTAGTCAGCATATTAGCCAGCTTTATCCTTCACAGGTTGTGCAACGTAGATGCTGAGAATCGGTATAGCATTACTGCACTCGATGCACGAATGGAACCTGTTTCTAGTCACGAATGAAAGTTGCAAAATAAGCTTACAATATAATAATTAAAAAAGGAGTTTAAACCACATTCTAATCAAAATTCACGATTAGTAAATTTCAAACATGAAAGTGTTGCAAAGTCACATGTTTTTTTTAAATATAAGAATTTTAAACGAGTAATACATAATACATATGTGAAATAAGAATATGATTTATTACAAGTAATTTATTTTCTTTTGTGGCGACTGCGCGTTCGCAAAATATATCTGTTTAAGAGCTTCATTTGCAACGATTTTCATACGGTGACTGGAAGGACGAAACAACGCGTCCAAAAGCGTCAACGAGCGGTGCTTGGTCAAAGAGTATCGATCGTGACCGGCATTTCTAATGGGCCGAATAACTTTTCGTCGAAGGCAATCCGTCGCAGATGGTGTGCACGTGTGAAGAAAGTTCGCAAGTCGTCGTATGCGCGCCGCATGTTCGAGAAGAAACTCAAGCGAACGTATCTATTGCTCGTGATGAAAAAAGGCAGCTACAGAACATACGATTGATTTACCTATGTACGTGACAAATATGAAATAATAATATTTGAATAATAAAGTAATGAAATAATAATTTTCTGATGTCTGGTCGTTCTTTCGAAATTATATATAAAAAAAAAAAAATGAAATACCTGCATGCAACAAGAACAACAACAGCCCGAACACCTGAACGGTCGTACCATGTGCAGGACCTCCCTCTGATTAGTGTCGACCACGCGAAATTCACAACAGCGTAAAGCACCAAGGCACAATCGCGCGCACGTATCCGATTCCTCCGCAATGTAATATAGTGGCTGACCATTAGCATTCGTTATGTGGTATTTGTTCTCAGTCTCCCATCCAACGACAGCTGCAATTGTTTGATTATTCAATTCACCGACGCATTCAAAATTCGAACTGGTACAGTAAAAAAAAGTACAGCACGTCAGTATTAGAGAATACTAACCTTCCAATATTTCATATTGTTGTTGTATACGCAGGTGATCCAGGGCAATAAGGTATTCCAAACCGAGTGGACAAATCGTATTCGGCGATGACCAGCCATCTGAAACGAAAAACACATTGAACTATCAGATCCACTTTTGTTTCCATGGTTTTTTTTTTCTCTTTAATTATAAAAGTTGGTTGTTCTGATATTTTTTTAAAAAATTCATTCGAACCACTTTTCATTCAGTTATCTTCTTCTCTTTTTTATCGTCGAAACATTCTTCAGGTTTGAAAAAAATATAAAATATGTTATATGATTTTTCACTTCAATTTCACGCAAGAGAATTTCTCATAAAAGACACTTTATGAAAAAGAAAATTGAAGGCATTAATTTTTTTTTCACTTCGGTCTTACGACACAATGTGTAACCAGATTTTAAGAAATTTACAGGTTCACTTTTATCTGACGACGGGCCTGCATAAACTTAAACAATTAGTAGTCAATTTGTGTAACGGAGTCACCTTTTCTCCTCATCCGTAAGGAACCTGGTATAGCCTTTCCTCTTTGATCTATATCTGTTTAATGTGTCTCTGAACAAAGTGCGGAGTCGTCTTCGAATCTGTTGTACCTTTACTCGCCACGAAGCTTCAAAATATTCCGACTCCATCGCTCACACACTCTTTCCACAAACGAAAAGTCTATTATCGATGTACATGTGAAATATTCAGAAGTTGAACTCTTAAATTATTCCCGATAAAAGTTATTTATTTATATTTATTACACGCGTATACTATTCTCACGGTAATAATTTCTTTTTTTTTCTTCACGTTCAAAAGAAATTTAAAACGAACGGGAATTTATTTCATACGTGAAATCGTATTGTGGAATGCCGAAGTATCGGCAGCACTTAATGTACTAATGATCAAGTTTATTCTCCCAAGTTTCTCCTCCTCAGCGAAATGATAAAACTTGTGTACTTTCCTTGGGACAGTTCCTTAGGTCGTTCTGCTTTTTCCCCCGTTATCTTCGTTAGATAAATAAAACAAATGTTCCCCCCCAAGTTAAAACTTTTCCAACTGTTGAATACAATATCTTATAATGATGTGGGTCTTCCCCCTGCGAGCGCCGTTTACTTTTTCTGCGTATTTCTGCGTGTTCTACACGACATTCCACATATTATTTATTTTCATAATAAGACATACAAATAATAAAGATGATAAGATAATGTAATAAAAAGACGAATTAACAATAGAAAAAACACTTGATCAAAAGTGTTACTTGTCAATTTATAATCTTTTTGCTCCTGGTGATTTAAGTTCGTCTCAAAGTACTCCTCTTTTTTTTTTTTTTTTTTTAAATTAATGTCGCTGGGTTATTATAGCTTTGGTAAATCAAATCTCGCAACATTTTCCACGCAAAGAGCAATTGAAAATTTTAGCTCGAAAAGCGCTGACTCTCTGCTACGAAAATAGAATTTTATGCAACGTAATTACAGCCCTTCGTCGACAGTAAATTGTCAATCCGCCGACGCATGTCCGGCTAGACTCGTTGTTCCGTAAATTAGCCAGAACATTATTTAATCTTTACACACCGTTAATTAATCATGAATCACCTTAACACGCGACCATGCCACACAACCGGCATTTCACTATACCACGAACATCATTTCGAAAATGTTCGCTCGCAGGCAAAATAATCTCCTCCTTTTTTCTTGCTAAAGAAATCCTCGCCCATCTTTTATAGACGAAAAATAGAAATTATCGTCGAAATAAATGACTCTTGCAGAGATGGTAATTTCCAACATTTTCAAAAAATCGCTACTTTCATCGCTAACTATTTGTTTTTACGAGACTCTCATTTGATCGATGAAACTGTTTGGAGAAAATAAAAAAAAAAAAAAAAAAAATAGGTACGATCGCATCGAGTAAAAGTATCGCGTTATGATTTAATTTTTATATCAGGGGTACAACGGTTCTAAAGCTCGTATAGCAACACTGTGACCCCAAACTACAAATTCTTACGTTCGAACCAACTCTGAACAACAGCTACCTTGTTACAACATCATCACGAGATAATATTTCACTAACGAGAATCTCAATTTTCTGGGATTTTCATTCAATTTACTTCACTTATTATTAACAACACTTCTAACACTTCGATACAAGTCAGTTAATTAATCTATATTTAACGCGCAACTGCCTTACTATTCGTGAAAATAAAAAATAACTATAGCCGCAGCACTGACATAACAGGAGGAGCGCCGATATTTACGCGATACGATTTTCCGCCGATCATAAACAATATCAGTTGATATAAAATGGCGACACGTGCGATCTACAGATTAGCCACGTATGTAATTGATTTGCGCGGGTACTTCTTAACGCAGGAATTAAAAAAGATTTAGGATTCGATCGAAAGAAACACGGGATAGTATTTGCTGACTGATAAGAGAGCGAAATGAACGGCCGGAACACGAAACTGGATGTCACATCATCCTGCTATACGTGACGCTTCTATCAACGAAGACGACTATTATCTACTTACTGATCGTCACTTGGCAAACAGCGACCGTATCGTACTTCGTTTAGGGGTCTCTCTTCTCTCTTGCTCTCGCGCTTGAATAACATTCGAGAGCGATAAATTCAAAGTCGAATTATTACCTGAACACGGCGGAGAAGTTCTTTTGGAAATATTTGGACAGCCAGAGAAGCACCAGGGAGATCACACTTTACAGTACTACATATTCCACAGTATGGAATTTCGTAGACTTTGCAGATCAGATTTATTCCTCTAATTGTAACTCGATTATAATCCTTTAATTAAAACTTTAACGACTTTCCTCTGTCAATTATTCTTGATGGTTTGAAACATGTTTGAATTAATTTTCTATTAATCTATTTACTATTTATCTACTAATCTATTTAACGCTCTATTAATCTATTAATAAGTCTCTTATCGAGTGTTTCAGAAATAATCTTAATGAAATCTGATAAGAGATGCATGTATCTAACAGATCTAATAAACGAGAATTTTATATCTGCTTGTCAATCAGTTTCTACCGCACCTGACGATTGAATCTTCAAACAATCGAAATTTTTTATTAGTAACAGAAAAACAGCTAAATAAGAGATAAAACAAATTCTAAATAGACTTTACCTTGTGGCGCACCAGATTGTGGTACTGATATTCCATATGATGGCACTCCGGCAGGTGACATTTCAGGTTGCAACATTCCAGGATGAGGCATTCCGAGTTGTGGCATTTCAGGTTGCGGTACTCCAGGTTGAGACAGTGGGAATGCACCAGGTGATGGTGGCGGATACGGTGTAGAATAAGGGGTCGAATTCATTTTCTCTTTTTCTTTCTATTTTTCTCTCCCTCAAATAAATGTTTTTAAAGGTCTGTCTTTCCTGAAATTAGAAAAAAAGGCAATTAGTAAGGCTAATTAAAAGATAATTGAAAAAGATACTATGAAAATTAATTTTTAATTCCTAAAATTTCATTTTTAACAAAAGAAACTACAGAGGTATACATATACGCAATCACATACATACATATAAACATATACACATTACAATTAATTCAAACTTGAGTGACGTATGTAGCATTCTTGTTGTGCAAGTAATTTTATTACATGCATGTGAAAATGTACGCTTTTATATATACATGTAATGAAAAACTTACTGTATGTGAGCTGTACAAGTGATATGTTTTTATGTAAAAAATTAAAAAATCAAAGCATTTCTCCTTAATTTGTTTACTTTTTGTTTCGATATCTAGGTTATGTTTGTATTTCAATCGGTAACGCTGTTCGCGTAACGACCTTTCTTATCAACGGAGCAATTGTACTGGAAATTAGTTACGAAAAAGATCGTACGGTGACGAAACGTTAATCGTATAATACTGTTTATGTTATTGAAATTGTTAGGTCATTGTCCCCTCCTAAAAGGTCGTTGTAACTTACAAGAGAATATGAACTATATGAACTATAGCCGATAAGTATCCATTTTTATATTAATAACAATCCTTTGTCTCTCGATATGTCTATGATCGATAAATTGCATAAATATTATTGTCGGATACTAAATTTAATCATATAGTATAAACTATAAGATAACAAATTCAATTAATAACATGTGTATAACATACATATTTCATGATATTGGCATCTGTTTTTATCTTTTTCGTTATTTTTGTACAGAGGTTAATTAAATATTACTTATCACGTTTTTATTATTTTAATACACTGAATGATTGATAAAATCTGTTACAAGTGATCTTGAGAATTATTAAAAATAATAGTAACACTTTTTTTTGGTATTTTACAGGATGCTACTGTAGCTTCTCAGGATACTACTTAGCTTCTTTGATGATATCCCATGAAAAAAGATTCCAATAAATTGTAAAATTTTAAAAGAGAATTCTGCTATTCCCTCTAATAATTTTCAAAATATTTTGCAATTTTGTAACGTATGCTGTACATTTTTTCAATTACTATTTTTATTCGATCTATTTGAATTAAGTATTTACAGACATAATATATATAACGTAAGATAAATAAAATTCTTACAAATTCTTCTTCAAATTACATCACGATACGAATGCAATGTAATTAAAACGAAAAAAAAGAGAGAAGGAGAAAAATCGGTAAAATGAACATGCAGCAAAATATATAGGTAAAATAATTTATTGCAAATTAAAGAAAAAGAAAATAACACCTTAAACTAGTTTCGATCTCATTGTATGCGCCACTTTTTAACAGCCTTGAATTAGGTTTCATGAGACCTAATAGACGATTTCCTCGTTTGTTGCGAACAGCCTCGATAACTTTTCGTTCGTACGATTTTTTTTTTCAATGCCCCGCGCTTGTAACACGCACTGATTGCGCTTTTCACGGTGAACGAACGACAAGGAATCAAGAACGACAAATTATACGAATTAGTGTTACACGAATGGAGCGAGTCAAGTTTGCTCCAATTAATGACACTGGAAATCAACGATAAGCGTAGCGATAAGTGCACGTGCATTTCAAGAAATATAGGCATTGTTCTGTGTATTCCATACAATGGCAGCTGATTTGGTAATCTTTCCAAATAAATCATTCCATGTGCTTGCTCATATAATTAAAAAACAATCCTAATAATTGAAAACGTTATCAATAGCTTACGATCCACTTATTTATTGCACATGACAAACGTTCACAACACATTTGTAATGTAAAAATGTATTAGCGCGCGTTATCATTTTCTTTTAAACAAAATCTATTTATTATCCATTTCAGATTGTTACATTTCAATTTTAATAAAGTTATATCCATCAAATTGTTATATCGTTTTCGTTCATTAGACTTTCTAATAAAGAATATGAGATAAAATTCTAGTACGAAGGAGATTTCCCGAAAGATCAATGAAAACTAGCCTTAATGACTAATTATCGCCATTCGTCACTAAATACTACGTAAAGTGATGCATTGTTCAGTTATGTACACTTTCATCGGATGATGTCATCGTGTCTCACGTGTGTCTGCGTCGCATACCACAAGGTCGTTAGTGTCTGTTGGAATGGCGTATATCTACACGAGGATATACACTAATACAAAAGAAATAGCAGGCCTCTTTAAACCGCAAGATATGGTAACAACATGCGCTTCCGGTTTTTGAGAAAAGCCCTTTGATGGTAGAAAACAAAACGTGAACTTACATGTAGCTTCTCGTTATCTTTCTCTGTCTCTCACTCTCTCTCTCTCTCTCTCTCTCTCCCTCCCTACCTCTCTCGTTTCTTTTTTTTCGAACACTATCCAAAAGAAAGGGAATTACTCAATAAAAACATGCGAAGAAACGAGCTCAGTAAAAAACTCTGAATTTTCCTGTTACGTACATCTCTTTAGGTTTTATTTCTATCGATCTATTTTTGAAAATTCGTGTATTTACGCAGCGTTCTCATGTAAATAGAAAGACTTTGTACAGACGAATGAAAGGATTGCGTTTTTTGTTGCTCAATTACGCAGTACGATCGACTGGCTGCGAAAATAGCAATTAACATTGCAAATATTATCAACACAGAATGACTCGTATTCCGTGAATCATTCAACGAACTCGGTATCACGGTGTCTTTATTTAACCATTACATCCAACATAAATCGGATGGACTTTAATAAACGATCAAACTTAAGCTAATGTAAACAACGATTATTCACGAACGTATCTGGAATTTGTTGTTATTAACAGTACTCTTACTTTACCTTGTGGAAAGAACAATTTCGTCGTCACAACATTTATTAGAAAGCAAAAATGAAAAGGAACAAAGAAAGAGGAGAAAGAATAAGAATGATTTCGAGTCGAACAGAATTTCACGGAATGTTTGATAATATTAATAAAACTTACTAAGTGGTTGGGAGTTCGTGGCTTTTGAGAGATCGTGGATAGCGCTGTCTAGAAGATAAGAGAATGACACTTGCATCCGGTAAAGGGAGTTTCCGTGATTCCTCTCTTACTATTTTCCTTCTTGTGTACGATTGTACACAAAGAAAGAGCGAACGTCAGTCAGCACGTCCAGCGCTCTGATTCGCCACGACTTTTCCAACACTCGGCTCGTGTTCACCAATCGCGAAGCAGTTGCGACCGTGTCACAACGGAGAGATGCCGGAAAATTTGGAAACAGGTCTTAAAACAGGATTTTTCAGTCCGTGCGAGATAAGTTTCGGAAAGATATATATCGAGTGGACGTAAACTAGTCGTAGGTTGAAGCGGATAGGGACAGTGCCCCGATGTTCGGCGCAGGAGGTACGAAAAGAAAATCTAAGTGTGATAAGATGGCGTCACGCACGTCAGATCTGGGGAAGAAGTGAGGGGCAGAGGAAAGACAGGAAGGAGGCAGGCCAGGCGAACGTCGCCAGGGGACTGCGGTGTGACAGAGAGTGTTCATACGGGTGCTGTCATGTCTTCTTCGAACCTTAAGAACGGCTACGTTACGATCACGGTAAAACATTGTGCACGATTCACCGTTCAGTAACATCATCAATGCCTTTGTTCGGCGATAAGTATCGTTCTAGCTCTAACGCGATCGTTTCAACGAATACGATACGAAGGAGACGGAGTTAATATAAGCGGCAGTCAATTTTCGTGGTGTTCGAGAAAGAACAAACGTGCAACGATAATCAGCTAGGCTGCTCGAGAGAGAGAAAGAACCTTCCTCTCGGTCCTGGACACGTTGAGGAGGAGGAGGAGGAGGAGCCGGTGGAGACGGAGGCGAACTGCCAAAGAGATGCGCGAGTTCAAGGTAGTCGTCCTCGGCTCGGGCGGGGTAGGCAAGAGTGCACTTACCGTGCAATTTGTTTCGGGATGTTTCATGGAGAAATACGATCCGACGATCGAAGACTTTTATCGGAAGGAGATCGAAGTGGACAACTCGCCGTGTGTACTCGAAATCCTCGACACCGCCGGCACCGAACAATTCGCGAGTATGCGCGATCTATACATAAAGAACGGCCAGGGATTCGTCGTAGTTTACAGTCTGACGAATCATCAGACTTTCCAGGATATCAAAGCGATGAAGGAATTGATAACGCGCGTCAAAGGTACCGAGAGAGTGCCCGTATTACTGGTCGCCAACAAGCTCGATCTCGAGCATCAACGCGAAGTAGATACCGCCGAGGGGAACGCTCTGGCGCAACTCTGGGGATGCCCGTTCGTCGAGGCATCCGCGAAACACCGCACGAACGTGAACGACGTGTTCGCGGAGATTGTACGCGAGATGAACGTCAGCCCTGAGAAAGAGAAGAAAAGCTACTGTTGTTGCAGCATCCTCTAATAATTAATCAAAATCCTGAACCGTGGGTTAACCAAGCCACGTTAGGTAAAGGAAATCCATATAATGGCTGGATCGCAGTACACTTGGTGAAACTTTCGTTCATCCAGTGCTTAGGCGTTCTCTCTCTCTCTCCCTCTCTCTTAAGCTCAACTCTTGGGCTTGTGCTGTGAATTCGCCAATCTGTAAGACTAATACTATGATCATAAACGCCTGGATTCTTGTGAATTTGAAATACGTCAAAGACTCATGCCGTCTCTTGGTTCTTTTTCTATTGGAAGATCATAGCCTGCTGTTTGGCTGGCTGTTAAATATTTTAATATACATGGATAGTATTATGTGTAATATTATTGTAATATATAATAGTAGATATAAGTGGGCAATGAAAAGAGGTAACTCCGTCAGCAAAGGACCAATACTCTGAGAGAGAAAAAATAAGGAAAGGAAATAGCAAAATGAAATAGGAAAGGACAGATAATGTCAAGGGTGATAATAGAACTGCCCTGCAGTAGTTGTTACTTGTTAACAGCGAAACCAAACTTGATATGTCTAGCTTTCTGCTCAATCTAAAAAATACACCCATTGCGTATTTGTTTCAGTCTGTAAATCTCTATTCGCAGGTTAGATGCTGATTAAACAAAGCATCCAAAGCTATTTGCAGATATTGAAGGAATCACTGTGGTGGTCAGTTATTTGAAATAACGAAAAAAATCGGAAATATTCAAATGTTGTTTACAATGTACAGTCAAGAATTGAGAAGAAGATAGATTGCTTAGATACATTGTGCAATGATTTCCATTAACGATATGTTACCTGTGCTCAATTGTCAGAGGCTGCGGTAAAGAATACATTGTATAGAGGGCTTGAATGGTATGTCGTTAATGGTATTGGTATTGATTGTACAGTTCTAATGGTAGAAATACATTTTATTGAGATGAACATGGAGTATTGAAATTGTTGCTAATGAGTAGAATTTTATATTCGAGACCAGGATATTCAGATAGTTGTGTTCTCATCGGCTTTCAATATGACTCCATTGCATACCAGATATTGTATGTATTCTTATATTTGAATAAGAATTACCTTCATCAGACTGAGAATTCAAAACTTAGCATCCAGTGCTTTTAATCAACCAAGGCATGAAATGGAAAGGAATAAAAAGGAAAAGGAAGAAAGGAGATTGCAGTAATATTACAGAAGAACATTAGTGCATAACGTCAATCATAAACATAATTATAGGATTTATGTGGTAAAATGTGTATAACAGAAACAGAGATACAAGATCTTTATACAATTCCAAAAAGTTTTATAACCAATTTAAAAAAAAAAAAAAGAAATAAAAGAAGAAACCAGCAAGAGGATGTAAGACTTTGAAATGTGTTTTTTCACGAAGGCTTGCTGGTACATTGATCCCTTCAACTGCAAAATACATATGTGGTACTCATAATAATCAATATATCCATTGCTTTCTATGAACGAAAAATCTCCTTTCGAACTGTTATTGAGTTCGTGAATGTAAACAAATAGATATAACGAAAAAGAAAAAAAAAAAAGAAGCAATGGACTCCCTTATAAGTAGTAGTAGGTCGTGTGTAATTTTTCTCGTGTGATCAAAAAAAAAATCATATTATCCAATGTTAAAAACCGCTTTTATACCATAACAGTCATTACATTAGCTCGATATGTTATTACTTAACGCCACACCATCGAAGTCATTACTTTCCGTGTGATTGTTGCATAACGTACCTTAACAAAAAAGCAAACAAAAAATAATGAAGGTTGTTCAATCGGTTATCTTCTATTTTTTCTTTTTTTTTTTTTTTTTCACAAATTTTAACTGAAGGATGTTAAATTCTGATTTTATGAAAACGAAAACGAAGAAGGAAAACAAAATAAAATATGTATTTATAGTTTGTATAATATCTACTTGTTCGTCTCAATTATCTGTTTTTTGGATCAGTTGCGAATGTTAAATTGTACACGATCGACAGCGTTCTCCCGTGCTTGAACGTATCGAAGGACCGCGATGTTGAACTGAAAAGTTTCAAACGAACTGATGTACAGTATTTCTATCATTGGTAGTTAGAAAAGAAAAAAAAGCGAGTCCAACGATATAGAATTCTTGGGAAGAGTTATCGATCGTACACTTAATTCGTTCTCTCCAATTGTCGGTGCACTTTTAGAAATGTCGTTTCGTAGCGAATATGCGGGGCTGGGTGTTTTCTTTTGTTTCTGCCACAAAGCATTTAATTTTATTAGTTTACGCTATTTGGAAATTTCTCTTTTATAATTTTTCTCATATTTCGTTTAATTGTGCGTTTCATTAGATAATTATATAAGTTTAAATGATTATTTGTTACTTTATATTTTTTATTCTCATTCCAAAATATTAGTATTTATATAATCTGATATGATAAAAACCATTGTACATCATATATATATATATATATATATATGTATTAGAGAAACGAAGTACTCGATTATATGCGGGGAGAATTCAAAGTACGGTAGCCTCGCGTATTCGTCTAATGAAGGGTGCTAATACGTTTTGTCAGTTTATAAAATTGGTGAAGCGTATACCGACGTAGCGAATCGGGCCATCTGACATTTCATTACTATACTCGAATAATATAAACACAGGCAAGGAGGAAAAAATGCGGAAAGAATGAACGGCGGGCAGGGGGGAGGGGAAGCAACACAGATATAATTATTCGTATCTTCTATTTTATCACTCGGAAAATTCATAGTCTCGCTGTGATCCTGTAGATTATAACCGCAGTTTTTCTATTAAAAGGCGACGATAATAACCGCGTATAGAAGCCTTTCAACGGCGAATCAAAGGGCCTCTTTGTGAAACGTGTAATCGCTCTCGCTCTATTATCGTTACGTTTTTTCGCTCTCCTGCGTTTTTTGTGCTTCGCGAAAACCATAGATCGGCGAAAAGAATAATAATAAAAAAAAAAATAAAAAAAAAAAGGAAAGGAAAAGAAACGAAAAAAAAGGAGGAGAAATGGTAGAGTGAGGGGTTGAACACGGGGTGGGGAGAGGGGAGGGAGAGAGGAAAAAGTAAATGACGCTCATTGACTGCCCGCGGGATAGCTTTCTAAGTACATATTATGTACACAACTAAATGCATGAGAAAAACGGAATAAAGAAAAAAAGTTTCTATATTTATATCGCTTCTGAATGTAACGCACACGTTTCCCCGGCGCGGGATCGCGTTTTAAGAATATTTTTCTAAAGAGTGCGCTGAAGACTTTTTGTACACAAGAGAAAAGAAAACGAAAAGAAACTCAAAAATATAGAAAAATGCAAAAAAAAAAAAAAGAAAAAGGAAATGAAGTAATGATAATGATAAACGAACTGTCCTTTTACTTGGAAAGCTATCAAGCATTGAGAAAATATTAGAAGAAAAAAAAAAATCGAGCTTCGTCTGAGTGAGCATATCAAGTGTCAAGGACCAGGTGACGTTTCGTTTTCTTCCTTGTTTCTTGGCTAGCAAATTCTTTTTAGTATTATCTCTTTTTTTTAAATTTTCTTTTTTTTTTTTCTATAACGTGAAAGAAAAAGATTTAAGGGAAAGAAAGCACAAGAATTCACCACCTACAAAAAAAAAAAAACGATTCGCATACGATTTTATAATTAGATATAAATAAATGAATAAATAAATAAATGATATAAATATAAATATATATAAATATATATATATATACATACAATATATATGTATACATGCAGATTTGTTACGCAACTGGGTCACATTAATTCGAGAAACACCACGATTTAGATGTATATCGGCCTTTCAGTACTACCTGCGTATGATATTGAGTACGAAATACGTTATATTTTTTACAATGTGAAGAATCTGTAAATATTATAGCGTCGAATTATATAATAATAATAATATTAATAATTAATAATAATATTAATATTAATGGAGGAAAAAAATGAACAAATACTGATCTGACATTCGAAAAGACAACAATGAGAATGGCTTACAGTAAAAAAATGTGCATTTCATTGACAAACGATGACGTTCGCGAGATATAGTTATGTTTCTTTGTTGTTTTAGCCCGTCTTTCTTTGGTTTGTTATTCTTTGATCGGATTAGCTATACATTCGAGCGATATCACTTGGGTAGACAAGAAACAGATACTCGATAACAACACACATCCGCAAAAATTGTTTGCTGGTATTTTCAATATTTTTCTCCATCGCGTTTGTTAATCACGTCGATGAAAAGAAAGGGAAATAGGCGAAAACAGAACGTGCATTATTTTTTACTAGTAATGAAAGGAAAAAAAGAAGAATAAAAACGTAAGAGCATGTGACATTCGTGTATTTCCCCGTTTTAAAATGCGATTGAAAATAAACAAGTATCTTTTCTTTCTTCTTTTATGTAACAAAGTATTCTCATTCTTGATTTAATTTTCACTTGTCGAACTTCTGCTTTCAGTTATTAAACGTTATATTGTATTCTGTTTATATTACCAGCATAAGAATCTAGTCACTATAGAAATCTTGTAACTCAATGACATGGAAAAAGTTGTAAGAAAGTACGGTTATAAGTTGGAGAAAATAATGGCTTTATTGTGAGAGGGATGACTGTACTATCCTATTGTCTAATTAATTATTTTATACCGAAATTATTTTAAATACTAATTTTCTTGTCTAGTGTAGAAGGAATGTAGCATGGATTTAATATTTGTAGATTAAAGATAGAAATCGTAATTTAATTTCAAAGACAATAGGCTGTTACAGCAATTTTGTATCATATACCAAATTTTTTCCATGAAAGCATTGAGACTATCCAGATGAAGCTACCCACTTGATTTTTGCCTGACTCAATACTGGTGCACATTTTTTCTTTGTATGCAATTTTTTTCACATTTTTTTATTACTAACCATTGTACTGGCATTTTGGAAATATCGCACAAATATAATATAGAATAAAAACAAGCAACAACTTGGTACTGATTATAGAAAATCCTCTGCAATGTGAAAATGAATGGAAGTTTTAACTACATGTAAATTATGTCTGTTTTTACAAAGATTGAAAATACGTGCAAAATATTTCGATTAATTTTAAATTTGTAAAATTTTTAATAAATTCTTTTACATAAAGAAGTCGGTAGTAGAATAATCAAAGTGGAAATTTATTGATATCATAATAATATCTAATACCTATTTGCGTGAAATCTTTTTTGTTATTTATTATAGAAATAATTTTTTAAATATTTTATAATTCAGTAAAGATTTAATTTCATTCGAAAAAGAAAAAAATTGATTGTGTAACAAATTAATGGTAAGTATATATGTAGTTAATTATACTAATTTTAATATTATAGACTATTATATACTACAAATGATGAAGTGTATCTACTATCTATAAAAGATCAGTCAGGCTGTTTGTTGCTCTATTCAAGTTATTTAAGTTTTTAAACTTAAAATATTCATGGATTAATCATCAATTGAATTTAACAGAAAATGTTTGTCGCTTACTTTCATTTTTATTTCTCATTTAAAATGTATTTTCGTAATTACGGGCAATTAATTTGAGGTAAATACTTCATCCATTCTTCTAATACATTCATAAGCTTCTGTTGGAGGTACTTTCACACAAGCAGAAATTACTTCGTGAGTTATATAAAAATTTGAGACTTTTAGAGAATGAGATATTTCACATGTTTCTTCACTATGTTCATTACACTTACTGTATTCAAAACACTCATCAGCGAAATGGTGAAAAGTGTTCAAAACATCTTGCAGAAAATTTACAAAATCATTGTCTTCTGTGTGGTTATCGCAACGTGTAAGATGAGTAGTGAATAAATTCACATAAGGGCTATGTTTTATGCTTTCGTTAAGTTGATTGATATTTTTAATTAATAATTGGCATACTTTCTCGTGGTTTTTCATTCCTTCGAGGGATACAAACGTCCAACAGAAACGAATAAAAGATTTAAATAAATATACAAATAAATTGTTTCCACCGACGGATGAATATTCCAGAGATAAACAACACGCTTCCATCGTCAAACGTAGAAAATTATCAAACGCATCGATTTCATCGTTCCATCCAAAAACGAACCAATAAATTATGGTAAGTTCCGAACCTAATCTTTGATATTCTTCTTCGGTTGAACGAATGATTAAATGGCGCAGAAAATCTTCTCTTTGTAAACTTAAATCGGAGCAATAATGTCGTAATTTTTCTGAAGCTTTTGAATCTTCTTTCAGTCTGTTCAGTACAACAAAACAACGTCTCTCATAATCTTCTATTATATCAATTATACTAACACCTTTCTGCATTAAATGCCAAAGAGAAGCGAAATATAATTTGTCTATTGGTTCAATGATAGGTTCAATTCCATTCATTATCTCCTTCTTTAGTGAGACAGAAAAGTTTTCATTTTCCAAGAAATATGACAATATCCTTGTTATCCAAGAAAATACTTCGCTACTCGCATATTTGTCGATACTTGTATTTTTTCGAAGAAACGACATTCTTCTTGCGAGAATTATTATTAAATCTTTAATATTTGTATTTTTGGTACATTTCACTTGTAATTTGTGAATACTATTGAGAATTACATTTATGTTTGATACGTTAAAGGTGTCTTCTCTTAAGTATGGTATATAAACGTTATTTATCAAATCATGCACTTCAATTACAGAATTGTCTAACATGACATTCACCAGGTTCATAAACTTCTTAGCATTCCATTCTGTGTTTTCCATACAAATGATCCTTAACATACTTGTTAATAGCACTTGATTATCACCTTCTCTTATTTGCATAAATGGTGATAGTAAAAGCAAATCATTAGGAGAAATCATGATATTTCTATAATCAGGATGACCAATAGTGATTTTCAAAAGTACCGTCAATACCATTTTAGGATTTTTCAAAAGAAACAATAAGATTGTTTTTAAATTCGTAAAAGTTTGTAGACTATTTCGCATAATGAACTCGTGAAATGCTGCATCCGTATTTGGAGATTCTAAATAATTTTTACCATCAAATTTAGTTAAATACATCATTATAATTTCGTACATATCTGATATACTTTGACACGACAATATCTTTATAACTAAATCATAAGTAAATTCTTTTGAATCTTCCTCTGTTGATTGCTGAAGGATAAAAGTAAGATATTCTAGCAATGTTAAACAGTCTTCTTTTTCTAACAATGATCCATTGTCATAAATGAAATCAAGTATCGTGCGGTCCCATTCTTTGTACCTAGATAATAATTGTTTCATGAGCTCCTTTTTACCATTGGATATAGCGGAACAGAGTTCCGATAAATCTAAAATAAAGCTCGATTGTTTAGGATCTGATTTACATGACAATTGTTGTAAACATTCTATCAAATGTGCGTTTTCAGAAAATTTTTTATCATTGGATAAAAAATCTATGAAATAATAACATTCAATTCCAATAGAACGTTGTAGAGAAATCATATTGTTTTCTTGATCATTCAACTCTGCCCAGCTTAAGTAAATATTGCAATCAACTTCTTTGATTTTAATTAATAATAAGTCCATTAATTTTTGATTTAATGTTGACATAGTATTCTCTATCAATGTATTTTCACATTTTACACATTCTTCTTTTCCAAACGTAATACTGTATAATTTTTCAAGATCCGTAGAAATCAATATCTTTTCATTTTTGGTCTCCAAACATTTTTTTGTTGTACAAATTAATTTTTTTAACATGATACCATGTCGTTCGTATTTCTTCAAGTCTGATACTTCTATCAAATAAGGTAACTTAGGATTTGTTAATAATAGTAAGAATTCTTCAAAACTTATCAATAAATTTTGTATGCTTTCTTCCACATTTTTGGACTGTATACTAAATTCTTTTAAATGTAGAAACTTGGTATATATGGTCGGTATTAGTTGAAATATGCATTGAATTGATCTTTGAAAAGATAATTTGTCTATGCATTTTGTAATTATGTTTACTATTTCTATGCATAGGTCTAATGGCATATATAAAAGAGATTCAATTAAAATCTTCTCATACTCAAGATTCCATAATATTTGTATAAGCAAATATGGAGATAAAGGTGGACACATATCAACTAAGTGACCACTAACAATATCTTCTGCCAAACGTTCTTGATTCTCGAAATTAGTATTTAATAATAAGTATTTATATGATTGTGTACATTTTTCATCATTTACCGAAGCTTTTTCTTTTACAGGTATATCATAATTTTTAAATATATTGTTTATTGATTCACATATGTCCTCAATATGAGTATTATTCTCTGCTGTTATGCAAGATGTAAGAAATTTCAATTCTCCACATTCTTGACTCTTCTTCATTAGATACGTTTGAATCTTTTTGTAAAATTTGTCCATTGTTGGTATAATTAATTGAAATTATACACTTATGAGATCCTTCACTTGTACAAAAATTTCTGAAAATTTAATACAATTATTATGTTACATATATAAATTCTTAAATAAATCTAAATTTAATATACATAAATAGTTATGATGTACGAAACAATATAAAAGTACATTAAAATAAATGATTCGTGTAATATAAAAATGAAATATACAAAAGATGTATTAAACATAACATACATAATTTATAATTTAAAATGTTTCAATATTGTATAGTTGCTCAGATAAGTTTGTACGTTTCTTTTTAATTCCGTAAAAAACGTATACCTAGATAATTTTATCTCCAAGGTTACGTCATTAATAAATAACGAGTAGAAAAATTACCGAACCGAATAGTGTTATTCATAGAAGAAAAATGGTTCGTGCATGGTACATGAATAACAGCGATGCCGATCAACGGCTAGAACACCATAAACAACCACCTGAATATATTTCTCTTGAGGATCTGTTCAAAAAAACAGGTGTCGAATATTTTAAGGTTAGGTAACGTTCATATAGTTCAATAAGATTTCTTTATTGTTGACATTTGCCGCTCGATTATAATTTTACAATCAATTCTTTTTCGTTTTATATTAAACGAATACATTTAGATTAAAAATTGTATAGAAAAAAAATTACTTTTGAATTTGACCTTCTTACGTCATTGAAAAAACTGCGTTATAGCAACATTCTATTTTTCACTTCTTATTTATATATTTAATTCGATATTAATATAAAGGTTGATTACAAAAATTATCAAAATGACAACACGTTGATGGAATTAAAAAAAGAACGTAATTACACATACGAGGATGAAATAGTATGTTCTAAAGAATGTCTTCCAAATTACGAAGAAAAAGTAAGTGAAGTTTGAGCTTCCTTTTAATACATTTTAATTATGATCTATCAAATTGAAATAATACAAATTATTTCTTCAATTTTTAGTTAAAGAATTTCTTCACCGAACATCTTCACACCGATGAAGAAATAAGATTAGTTTTGGATGGGTCAGGATATTTTGATGTTCGAGATAAAGATGATCAATGGATACGTATTGAAGTTAAAGCTGGAGATTTGATAATTATTCCTAGTGGAATATATCACAGATTTACTTTAGATATTAACGTAAGTATTCCATTACAGTTTTAAGATTTATTAAAAATTAAATGATTGTTATCATTCTTTTTTATAGAATTATATCAAAGCGAAACGTTATTTTGTGGGTGAACCCGTTTGGTTGCCATACAATAGACCAGCTGATAATATGGAATGCCGTAAAAATTATCTGAATCGTTTGAACAATGGTTTTCAAGTAAAAGTTGTTTAAAGTTTGTTATAAATTTTACAAATCACCAGCTTATAATTTGAGGAAATAGAAAACTTATATAAACATTTTCAGTGTAAAATTTGCATAGATTATAACATGTACAATTATATCATTTATATTCACATTCCTGCATATTATAGAAGATATTCTTCAATGTAATTAAACATTTGTACAAAACCAATTTTATAAAGTTTATAAATTGTTTATAAAAATATAAACTTTCTACAGATGTAATTTAATAGTAACTTCTATAGAATAAAAAGTTTTTATATCCATAACAATTACTTCCTATATTTATGATAAAAATTGTTATCTTTATTAAATTATATAGACGCATATACACAAAAGCCTTATTCAAATACTGAATTGTTCATATTGTCTTAATAGTCAAATTTTTTTTTTTTTTTTGTTCATTAGACAAGATATAAAATAATAAATTGTAATAAATGTATAATATACTTATCATACACTACACACTCATAAGAATGTAATGCAAAATAGAATGATATCTTGACTCAATTATTATTAGATCCCAAATAAAATTGTCAAAACGTAAAAATTGTAGTTAAAAATAAATACTATCAAACTTGATCCTAATAATATACAATCCTAATAAATCAAGAAAGAAAAACAAATAATGAAAAATATTCCGGATATTTCAAACAGCTCGCATCCATCCACATAGATACATAAATAAAACAATTTTTACTGTGAATAACAAAAATTTAAATTAAATTACCGTTTCTTATTACTTTCAAATAAATTTTCTAGTAATTAAAATTCAGCATTAACTGTAAAATTGCTCTCTACTTTATTTTGCATTACTCCCCATTTCTGATATTCTCCCACCTTTTTTTCAAAAAAATTTGTTTTACCTTCCAAAGAGATATGCTCCATAAAATCAAACGGATTTTCAGACATATATATCTAAAAGTGAAAACATTTTAATTTACATATAATATTTATGTAATATAAATATCATTTCATCAGTTTTTACAAACCTTTTCACAGCCTAATTCAATAAGTAACCTGTCAGCAACAAATTCGATATATTGACACATAAGTTTACAGTTCATTCCTATCATTTCAACAGGTAAGGCATCCGTTAAAAATTCTTGTTCAATTTTGACAGCATCCTTAATAATTGATGTAACTCGTTCGCAAGATGGTTTTTGTATAATGTGTTTGAACATTAAACATGCGAAATCACAATGTAGTCCCTAAAGATACAAAAGAATTTTAGATAAATCGACTTTATTACTATTTACCTTTTTATCTCATATATACAGAGAGTTAGAAATAAGACTGATAAGATAATAAAAATCAAGATTTGCAGTTTTTCTGCTCATCTTCCTTCTAACACTGTATATTAGTTCTTTTATTAGATATTAAAATATTTGCATACTAACTTCATCTCTAGAAATAAGCTCATTACTAAATGTAAGTCCCGGCATAAGACCTCTTTTCTTCAACCAGAAAATAGCAGCAAAACTGCCGCTGAAAAATATACCTTCCACTGCAGCAAATGCAACTACACGTTCAGGGAATGTGGCACTTTCATGGTTTATCCAATTTAATGCCCATTGTGCTTTTTTCGTAACACATGGTAAATTCTCAATTGCATTAAATAGGAAGTCTCTATGAAGAAACAATGTACAATAAAAACAATTGACATAAAAAATTGTATAATAATATATTTAATAACCGACTAAAAAACTATTATTTACCTTTCTTTGGCATCTGCGATATATGTATCAATTAATAAAGAATACATTTCTGAGTGTACATTTTCCATGGCGATTTGAAAGCCATAGAAGCAACGTGCTTCTGTTATTTGTACTTCTTGACTAAATCGTTCGACGAGATTCTCATTAACAATTCCATCAGAAGCGGCAAAGAATGCTAAGACGTAAGATATAAAATGTTTCTCCTTGTTATTTAAACTATTCCAGTCTAACGCATCCTGCAAGAATATATTATTAACTTATATATTTTTTAAAAAATGTAATCTATTTGAGGCATTATACTTTAGAGAGATCCACTTCCTCCACAGTCCAAAAAGAGGCTTCTGCTTTTTTGTACATTTGCCAAATGTCAGGCCATTGGATAGGGAAAACAACAAACCTACGTGGATTTTCTTTCAATAATGGTTCTAATTCTGGGTTGAATTCATTTTCTTTAAAAATCTTATTTACAGTTTTTGCTTTAGTTACCTGAAAAACAAATAGAAAAGATATTAACAAAATCTTAAAATTAGTTCACCATCACATGAAAATATTTATATCTTACATTTTTGATACCATTCTCTTGAGAAATTGCTGGAGAAGTACATAATTTTTTTGGAGAAGTCTGAAAACAGAGATATCAAAATTAATAAAAAGGAAAATATTTTATTGATAGTTGTATTTAGTAACAAGTTATAAATATATGAATAATTTGTTTGCTATGTACCAGTTGAATTTAATATTTTATTCTCATAAAATACAAACAATTTATTTGAGCATTTTGATAATAGAAATACATGCAAAATCATGAAATGACATATTTTATTGTATTGCACAATTATATGCAACACAATTGCTTGTACTATAAGCTATGATAACCTGTCTATGAATACATTTCTTATCTACAAGAAACACATTCTATGAATAATAAATATTCCAGAATAATTATAAAATAATCCTCCTTTTTAATATATATAAATTTGCAATACATGAAAATGCAAGGAATTTTATAAAATATATTAGAATGAATTATATAAGTATTTAATTAACCATTTTCTTACCATTCTTCCTGTCGATTATATTTAGCTGTTTATGATAAACCGAATGTAAAGAATTAAAATTTCCATACAAAAAAAATAAAGCAAAATATCTTAGAACTGTGTTAGACATGTGGCACTAGCAAAGGTAATTTGTGTTTACTACATTACATAATTTGCAACTGTAAATTTTTATTGTTTACAACTGATCTATTTATTCTAATTATTTAAGATCTATCATTATAAATGCCATCATTCATTATAAATCTAATAACTTAAATCTAACAAATCGGCGTGGTGATTCTTTTAAATTGATTTTCTGACATATAATAATTAGAGACATGATACAATCTGAACAGAACATTTCTATCATATAAATAATACTTCTCTTTGTTAACACAAATAAGAAAAAAAATATATTTAAAAACATAAATTTGTTTAATTTAATTAACTTAAATGATGAACTAAACATAATAAAGCATAATATATACTACATATTTTTAATTATATATATTTAAGACAGACATCTTTTGGTATTAATTATACTGAAAAAGTAAATGAAGCAACTAGATAAATAATAATTAATCTGATATATAAAATAGTTATAGAAAAAGGCGTGCAGACTTACGTTATCTTTCAAAGAAACAGTCTCAAGATGTTTACGAATGTTTTCCTTTGTCGAGATTTGAAGTGGCATTGTAAAATTCAATGAATGTCACGCGAAAAGTAAGTAGAAAATATGAAATTGCCAGAATAATGTTGTCAGTGCCCGACGGAAAGCAATCACTTAAATGCTAAAAACGTAACATCAAAAGTATACTATATCAGTGCTGCTTCCTTCTGTTTCGCGCCAAACTGCCAGCAACCAATCAAATAATTTTCTTTTACCGCCAAAACGCATACAGATTTATAATAGCCAAAAAAATGCACATTTGTGAATGGCACTTTTTTAAAAATCTTTTTAAATATTTTCTTCAGTACTTTCAGTGATAATAGGGATAAAAGTTTTCATCTACTGTTGTTGGTTCTTCCCGCGTATTTTTTGATATGTAACATCACTGCAAACATAAGGGATAATTTTCAATGGGAGAATTCTATCGTCCAAAGCGTGTCATTCACGTTTTATTTGCCATAATAATTAACTTCGAATTCCAAATTATCTTACCATTTCCAAAATTTGATGAGGAACTGTTAAAGGAGTTGTTATTTAAATGTTATTTAGTAATTAGTAATTCTTTGTTAGCAATAGCAAATGCAGCATAATAAATATATGTATATATATATATATATATATATATATATATATATATATAATATGTATATAAAATATTATATGTTAAAATGTTGAGAGAAGTAAAATATTGAAATTGTTCGATAATCCAAATTTACATCAAAGATGTTAAGATGGATCTGCAACTGCGTTTCTGAAGGATCAAGCCGCATACGTAGCAGTATAAATGATTAAGCTTATTTAAAAGACATTAAAAGAAATTGTTTCAATATTTAAATATATCTTTACGTATTTTTCAAAATTGAAGCTTGAGTTTTATTCTATTTATAAGTGAATTCACAATTTTTATTATTTATTACGAAATTCATTATTGACAGTGCATACTACATTCTACGAAATTAAGATGTTATTTTAATATAACAATAGCAAATATTTTAAGCATGTCAATCATGTTAACAAATTTTGGAAAGATAATTTGGAATTCAAAGTTAATTATTAAGGCAAATAAAACGTGAATGACACGCTTTGGGCGATGGAATTCTCCCATTTAATATAACAATTGCAAATATTTTAAGATGTTAATGTCACTTCGTACATATTCGAAATATGTACAATTATTGAAATTAACCACATATTAATTGCTATTTGATACGAATGCTTGTGATAACAATAAAGTGTCAAATTTAAAAGACCGCCATTTTATCGTATCACAAAAGATTTGGTTAAGTCTATATCTTTATGAAACATTGTGATTTAAATATTCGCTTCGTTTTATTAACATTTTTAGCATTAAATATTTTTCTTGAAAACATGTTTACCATGAAAGAATAAATATTTAAGACTTGGATACAGACTGCATAAAAAAACGGTTGCATTCTGAACGCTTCAAATTTTGAGGTTAGTGTCGTATTCTGAGCAATCATTTTGTTTGTTTATATGTTGTGAGATTATGTGATAATGAAGCATATTACTACTATTATTTATGTTATACTATTATTATGTTTTGTCATAGAAAATGTAATCAATTAATTTTCTTTCTTATTACGATTCACATAAAAATATTAATTTAAAAATTATTATTAAGTATATAAATTTATATTACTTAATGTACATTTAGTATGAAATATTTTAGGTGAAACAAATACGAGGGAAATATGGCGTTACATAGCGTACCGCCAAAAAGAAAAGAAATTTACAAATACGAGGCACCATGGCCATTGTATAGTATCAATTGGTCAGTAAGACCTGATAAACGATTTCGTTTGGCTCTTGGTAGTTTTGTAGAAGAATATAACAATAAAGTACAAATAGTTTCATTGGATGAAGAGACCTCTGAATTTAGTGCCAAAAGTACATTTGATCATCCGTATCCAACTACCAAAATTATGTGGATACCAGATAGTAAAGGTATTATTACATTATTGGAATAAATTCTATTTCTAAATCTTCACTTGTACATTTTATTATGATTGTTTACAGGTTTGTTTCCGGATCTCTTAGCTACATCTGGAGACTATTTAAGAGTTTGGAGAGCAGCTGAACCAGAAACTCATTTAGAAACTGTTCTAAATAATAATAAAAATTCTGATTTTTGTGCTCCTCTTACATCATTTGATTGGAACGAAGTAGATCCAAATTTAATTGGTACTTCCAGTATAGACACGACATGTACTATTTGGGGACTAGAAACTGGCCAGGTTTTGGGTAGAGTTAATATGGTCACTGGCCACGTTAAAACGCAGTTAATTGCTCACGATAAAGAAGTATATGATATAGCATTTAGTCGGGCTGGTGGTGGTCGCGACATGTTTGCTTCTGTCGGCGCAGATGGTTCTGTGAGAATGTTTGATTTGCGGCATCTGGAACATTCGACCATAATATATGAAGATCCGCAACATACGCCGCTCTTAAGACTTGCATGGAATAAGCAAGATCCCAATTATCTTGCAACAGTTGCGATGGATGCATGTGAAGTAATTATTTTGGATGTTCGTGTCCCATGTACACCAGTTGCAAGACTAAATAACCATAGGTAATAATATATTGTATATATTTCTTGCGTTAGTCCAGTTATTTGGATCTTATGTTTGATTTTAATAATATAATTTCTTTTTTAGAGCAAGCGTTAATGGCATTGCTTGGGCACCACACTCGTCTTGCCACATTTGTACAGCTGGAGATGATCATCAGGCACTAATTTGGGACATACAACAGATGCCAAGGGCCATTGAGGATCCTATTCTTGCTTACACTGCTGCAGAAGGAGAAGTGAATCAAATTCAGTGGGGTGCTACTCAACCTGACTGGATTGCAATTTGTTATAACAAAGCGGCAGAAATTCTCAGGGTGTAAAAAAAGAAAAGTATTCTTTATTAGGTTTAAGCCACTTTGCGTGTAACAAAGTTTTTCTTGCAAATTATCTATTTAGATTTATTAAATGCGTTTGACCTCAGTATTTGTACAGAATTTCGCCTTTGCTGTAAGTTTTTTTTATACTTTTTTTTGTATTTGTAAAATAGACGTGTACAAATACTAGCTATTTTTTAAAATATTAGAAATTCGATGAAGGAAATATCTGAAACGATTAACGAGTATTTTTTTAATAAAAAGTTTATATTAGTTTTAGTAATTTTTTAAAATATCTATTCAGAATGGTTTCATTAATTTTGTGAATTTGGAATAAATAAGAAGAGACTGAATCGATCTGAAAATATCCAGTATGTGTACATGTTAATTTAACGATAATGTAGTGGTTTATCATTGTGTCACTGGTATTTTATGTATCTATGATTCTCCCTGGTTGAATAATTGTCATGCGATCGATTACAATCATACAAATTTAAAAAAGCTCACTGAATAATTAAAATAATTAAAAGTTAAGTAATAGCGTAAAGTTAGGTACGATAATAGTGATGAACCACATGTACATTTATATTAATGTAAATGACCGTAATCGATGTATCTTATTTGCGTTATATACATGATGATGTTCCAGGAATAACGAATTACTAGACTATAGAACATTTGAATGACCATTTTTCATGAAATATATAACAAAATAAAATATATCCATTACAATTGTATATATGTACTTACATATTTACTTGATTTTGTAGAAAAAAAAATATATATATAAGTAGAATACAATAATAATAAATTTTTCATACATGTTTTCATTACATTGATAATACAGATTGTTGAAAAATGTATGAAAAAATCACATAAAAATGCAATGCGTATTCGTACTTTAATAAAAGAAAAAATATTGTCAAGTTCTTTTATTAAAACGGAGTTAGTTAAAGTTATAGCAGTAGTACTCGTGATATTAGTATTAATAATGAAATATTTACTTACAAGCGTTCAAAATTATGATCGAAAACAAGTCTTTTTATATATTATTATGATTTAATTTCATAATTTTTATCATAATTAATAATAGAGCTGTTAATTAACTCTCTCTACGTAATTTACTATTTCTATTCCAAATAATCTGATAGGATTTATAATTAGTACAACTTAAATTTTAGAAAAGCACGATTTATATTGGTACTCAAATATTTTATAATTTACATAATGAGCGAGATGCATTATTTACAATAATGAAATGTGTATGCGAGACAAAATATTAACCAATTGATACATTAATTTTCCACGATAATCTCCCGTTCGTTTTCCACCGAATATCCGATAACTTTACAGATATAAGATTAGACTATTATAATGCTATCGCTACGTCAATAAATATCATTAACTCTGATACAGAGCAAGCTTTTCACTACCTATTTATTTAATATAGTCAATAATCTCGTATTTCTTTCCTTCTTTTCTCAATTTAATAACAATAATTAAAAGGTATTTATAACTACGTCGAATAAATTTTTTTAAAATATCCTTATATATCAATAATTTAAATTAAACTTTGGCAAGATTTATTTTATCTTGATTTCTCTAAAAATACTACATTAAATTTCGTATATATATGTGTGTATATATACATATATATATATAAGCTTAAAAAATAAGGGCTAATGACATATATTTTATCACACTTTAAACTAAATCTAAAGTGTACATTTTGTTTTTGTTTTTTTTTTTACTAATTTCACGATTTATTCGTTCTTTAGATCAAGTGATTCTCTGATATTTTAATCGGAGGCACACACACGATCCGCAAACACGCACATTAAACTTTTTTCAAAGAAAAAGGAACAAATAAAAAATTAGGTAGTCAAGGACAAAATAATAAACGTAAAAGAGTTACGTTTACCGTCATTCGTGCATCGTTACATTTTTATTATAATTAATGCATCGCGTTAGTAATAAATTAATGAGTCATGTTTTTCGTTTTAGGAGATACTATGCCTAAATTACTGAAAGCTCGTCCTATAAGGATATAAATTAAGCTTAGTGTTTTCACTCTTCCTGTACATAACATCTAGAGAATTCTAAACGTATCTCAGAGTACTCAATTCATTGTTTTACAACGCATTTATCAGCCTGATAACTTGCTCTTTTCCTTTCTTTCAAAAAAATGCATCGGATATCTTCATTAAATGCTTCTTGTACAATAGAAGCAGAGAACAAGATCAGTATTGGCATTTCTCGCTAATATGCTCGTAGAGCTTCAGCCGCTTCATGCTTAGAGGATTTTGAACATGAATACATTCGGTAGAACTCATTTAAAGAACTGATGAAGTTTTTAAAGAACACATAATTTACTAGCTATGTAATGGAGATGTAACACTGTACATCCCATAGTCAGCATGTTTCCCATTGCTATAAAAACATGAACGCGTCTAAAGGCTTGATGAATCTTTAAATAATGAGGGCAGTGTTTCAGAGGGCCCGGATTATGAACACCAATCTCGTTGCCAACACCAGCAGCACGTTCCAAAATGTTCTTCTGTACTATTAGTCGTAGAAGAGGCGGTGTTAAATAGAGTCGTATCAATAGCTCCAGGAAAAAGGCACTGGACATACCGCCTACCTAAAAATACACAAAATAATTAAAATAATATGAAATGAAATATTAATAGAATTATGTATAGGTAAATGAAATAAATTAATAGGAAAATGATTAATCCTAATTATAATATGGTAGTAGGATACGTATTTCATAATAAAAGAAAACTGCATTGCGAAAAGTTTTATCTCTATTTACTTTTTTCACAATGTATGATTTAATTCGACACTGTAAAACTATAAACATAGAAACTTTCTACCTATTTATGCTTGCCACTGTATCCTGTATACTGATTATTGTTTTGGATATATTTCATATGACATAATTTAATTTGTCCTGAACTTTCAGTTCATTTTACGAACCTGAATGGCAACTTCGGTGTTCCATGTATGTATAGGATGATGCTTGACAAAAATAAGAAGTGTGGTGAGACTGAGACACGCATTGATGGTGAAGTATCTTGGGAACAGGATACGCTGCACCTCTCCAAACGTGTGTCTTGGCAACGCGAAGTACAAGGACAGACCTATAACATACCCAAGAAGGAATTTCTCAATTTTCAATTACTTTCGCGATGACCTGTTTCATGTGTGATGATTACCTGACACAAATGTCATCCAAATTTGGGCACCAAGATGCATCACGAACGAAGCTAAATAAATGAAGGCTGCTGCTCTCGACTGAGGATGACTGAAGTGTACTCTGTCCGTAGTCGGTACAAGAGCCGATGTCACGCACAGGACTGCTGCGATCACAATTACGTGAGCCGGTTGCGTCGTGTAAAACAGAATTCTGCAAACGAGAATTAATCACTTTTATTAACGCTAGAATTATAGATATGAAAAGTCTTGGTCGGCAAGAAAAGATTGTTAAAAATTTCCTAGTTTCTAAACTATTGCATGTTTTTAATAATTATATCACACAACTTCTATTGGAACGTCTGTTAACAATTAAATAATTAAAAATAATTTTATTATTAATAATTAATAATTAAAAATAAAATTTCTAGTAAAAAAATTTACAGTCGTTTTATTTTATAGCTATTATTTCCAAAAAACTTATTTTACAGATACGTTCTTCTTTGTTCAATTGTTACATTATGTATTAGTTTTTCAATTACATTTAGAAATATCTGACAAATATTTATCTAATTTCAGCAATTCCCTTTCGATAATAGCGTTGTTTCATTTGCTTGTACATCTCCCCAACATTTGTGGTTTCAAATGTTCGATATATCAAACGGTGTTAATAATCCCTTGGTAAAATGTAATTTGTTTCGACGTTCTCGAGGTGATAAGAAGATTTACGTGGTAAGTCAAGCATCGTCTCGATCGATGCATCATTTCACGAGTTACAGGCCTATAATTCCAGAACACAAGGGTATCATTAGCATCATTGCCATTCGTTCGTAGAAAACCATTAAATCAGAACACCGTCGAGCATTTCTAATTGGGATTCGAACAACAACTGTTTTTGTAAGTTGATTGCTGGAAACATTAGATATTTCGTTATACGAGTGTTACATTGATATTGATGGCAGCGCAAATTTGCTAAATCAATATTATAATGTAAATCGTAATTAACGAGTATTGAAGATTGACTGCACATAGAACGAACAACGATTGCAATGTTAACATAGTAAATAATAATGTGAAGAATGTATAATTTATTACAAATAAATTATAACGTAGCACGTTACACGTTTCTTAAATTATGACACAATAATATAATACAGTGTACAGCATTTATACATTAAATTAAATTAATATTATTGTTATCACAGAACTCATAATGTATAATGATCTTGAAGAAAGAGATCCATGAGAAAAAACTATAAATACAAAAGTGTAGCTCTTATAATCATTTCGAAATGGGTGGCTGATTCGTGTATGTTCTCGTTCGTGCATGCTAAGTAGCTTTAAAAAGAACAATTCCAGTCAAATTATGAGTTAAAAATCGATGGACGACATATATACCTAGCAGCCTCGTCACTCGTACTACTCGCGTGACCACATCTTATTATCGGATCCGGTTCTCCGTTAAATCAGACTCACGAATATCGTCGAATATCGTCATCCTGTGTGCCAAGAACGAAACAATATCTTGCGCCAATGTCATCATCGCAATGAAGAAAAATTGTCTACTTTCTAACTTAAATCGCGTCATAGATCATCCCCTACTTGTATAGAGTACACAAAAAAAACTCGATGGAAGAAAGAAGAGGATAAGAATTAAGAATAGAAAATGAGGATGATTGATTATAATAATAATTAATATATATATAATATTATTTATTTATTTATAAATATATATAATTTACTTATAAATAAATAATATTATATATACTAATTATTATAATAATTATTATAATAATTATTATAATCTTAATATAATAATTATAATTATTATGATTATTATTATAATCAAATATATTATATTAATATTATTTATTATAATAATAATTACTTGCTTCAGTTTATTATTAAAGAAAACTCCTGGTTCACGCAGTGAACGTGAAAATTTAATTCTTTCCTCACTAAAGCTACTCCTTTGCATTCCTTGCTCCACAAAATTATACATATAGACAAACTTTCTTCCCCATCAAGCGAATTTACAGGGTATAAAGTTTCCTTTCGAGATAATCGCGCTAATGTTGCAACATCTTACGAAACGAAAGTGTTAAAAGATATGAATACGAAAGAAGGCACATAACGTGTCATTTTCAAAGATAGGAACGATATTAAGCAAAGAGAAAAATGCGAATAAAGTATGTATATGTAAATAGACACACACACACACACACACACATATATATATATATATATATATATATATATGTCGAAAGCTGAAAGTGGTAATAGAAGCTCGAGAGCATTCGGTATATTTGCCTCCATATCGACGTAATCAATTCGCACGTAGGCGAACAGAAGCGGCTGTCCCGTTATGCTTCAATGTTTCAATATGCTAGAGATTGCGAATGTATCACCTTTTTCAATATCCCGTTGTACAAACAGCAAAACATCGGCTATTCCCTTGGCTTCTCTCTATGCACGAACATTTCTCGTGCACTAAATCCAATATTAATATTTAATCCTCGATTAAAACTCAATTTAAATAGTTATTAACTTGCGTGCGTGGTCAAATTATGCGTGACAATGTTACGAAGTTGTTAAAGATATTTGAAATATTTCTTGTGCAAGAAGATGAAAGATTTCCGTTTCTTTTTAATTTAATCGAGTTACGAAACGTTGAGCGAGTGCATACAGGCTCTTCGAGGTCTTTCAGTAGACTCGGAAGCTGTTTAAATATTTGCTGGCAATATTAATTTTCTCTTCTCCGAACTTTGATTCAAACTTTTTTTTTTTTCAATAATATCTGACCATCTGTCTGCCAAACACCATTAATTTGTGTTCGAGAGTTTTTTGAAGCAAGGCTTGTATATACAGGGCGTTGGAGAACAATTGGGTGTAACATTTACAAACAGCGAAGCATTGCCGATGAAAGGAGAACGTGTACAAAGTGTCCGATTGTAACGCAAATTCGAAAACTGATCAGAAATAAATAAGTCCGAGCATTAAGATGATAAAACGGTCGCGGCGATAAGACAAAATCATCATTTATAAGAGATTGCATCGCTCGTATTCCCCTTCAGCGTTCGAATGAATTCGTTTCGAACTCGCTAAATATATCCTTATAGCTATCCTCACGGGACAATGTGTCGGTGAGGATGCGTCTCTCGAGAACAGAAGATATATTTTCGGGTCATGGAACCCATGGTCTGAATGGCTGGCTCGAGTATGTCATACGTATCCCGCGACGTGAATGGAACGTGAAATGTGTCCAATTGTAGATACATACGTCGTAGGTTGTAGAGAAATTTACGTCACCTTTCAGACCGGTCGGATTACGTCCAATGACGTTTGTCTCTTGCGTCACTTGTCTTAGAGCTGGATGATTCGGATGTCACTTCCTACTTGTTTGCCATACTCTTTACGTCACATCTCGCGACTTTGTAGTTATCACGTTTTCCCACGAGGCGAATAACTGACCACTGAAGTTCAGTACACACGTCGTATGTATTTCGAAGTGTTCGTCAATTTGTAAATGCGTCCATGTGAGACAATTTTTAGCTTCGCCTCGTGGGGATTTGAAAAATATTTATTGCGAGGCAATTAGTTAAAAAAAAAATAATACTTATTGTCTTTTTTTATTACAACATTATTATTTTCTTTTTTGAGTAAAAAATAGGACAGTTCATATGTTGATATATATTGTGTCTACGTGACAGAATGACTAGTTAGGTTAATAAGTACTGCATTTATTCTTTCAAATTTATTTTAATTCTTTCGTCAACGATCACCAATGCATGTATATAATAATAATATGTACTATAATTCTTAATATATAATTTACTATATTATACTATATTATGTATAATTTACTATTATAATATACTATAATTCTTTTGTCAACGATCACCAATGCATGTATATATGTATATTAATATAATAATAATATGTACTATATATATTATATAATATACTATAAAATATAATATAATATACTATATAATAATAATATATTAATATATACCATATATTATACTATATTATATCTACTATATATTCAATATATATAATAAATATGTTAATATTAACGTAATATTTAAATATTTATAATATAGTACCCATAAAGTATTTAAAACGCTGAAACTTTTTATTTCATCGCAAAGAATATGTATAAATAATTATGATTATATTGTACTAAATGACGGAAATCTGTACATTTATAACTGTAACAATTTGTCAACTAAAAATAAATCGTAAGAATTATAAAAATCAAATTTGTCAATTGTAAAAAGATATTCATGATATTGGCAAAGAGTAAAGAATATATTTGCACGTGTATGTTTTGTGTGTTATACATACGTATTTGAGATTTGTAACTTTCGGAACTAAATAAAAAAATTTTTCCAACGATTTGAATTTGTTCTAAGAAAAATGACAATAAAAAAAATATCGTACGAAACTTTTATATGTGCTTTTATCGGAGACTCACGTAATTCCGTTCTGCAATTCCAAGAATCGTCTTATAGATATAGCGTGCAAAGTATTACTCGGGTCAAGAACCTCCCCGTTAAAGAGTCAATTCGAAAATTTGTGAACATTTCGGACATGTACCTGGAGCAACTCTTTTTTTTTTACTCAAACCCTCGATTCTACGATAGAATCTTTATTCAAATTCGAGATTTTAGACTAGAACAATTTTGTAATATTAATTTCATACTGTCGTCTCAAACAATTTTAATTTAGGTTCCAAATATTAAAAGAAAAAGAAAAAAAAAAAAAACGCGCATGCAATATTGTCCTAAAAATTTCGATTAAGTTTCGAAATATTCGAAATTTTCTCTATGAAAAAGAAAAAATAGGTGTCCCGAACCGTCAATCCTATGGCTATTATAGCGTCAGCCGATTTTCATTCATTGGTAATCGCCTAATCGCCGTTATATTCATTTATTCAATACCTTTACATTGTCATAGTTGCTGATCGCTTCTTTAACGAAAATTACACGTTACAAGTTCTTAATAGAACTTGGTCTTTGGTGGAAATTCACTGAAAATAGCCGCTCGTCATAGCGTGATTTTCAATCTGCATACTAACTAACAATAAATTATCCACATGCTTTCGCAGATATAAAGGAAAAGCGACGATAACGATACATCAATGAAATCGTTAATATCGATAAAAACCGTCTGCGTCGAGTCTGTGTCTTGTATGTTTTGTGATTACGT